ACAGGATTAAACCAGTTTTTTCCTTCCCACAGCCCAAGACCCTAAAACAGCTAAGGGGATTCCTAGGAATTACAGGCTTTTGTTGCCTTTGGATATCAGGATATGGGGAAATTGCAAGACCCCTCTATCAACTTATAAAAGAGGCCCAAAAGACAGATACCCATATTTTAACCTGGGAACCTGATTCCCAAACAGAATTCCTGAAGCTTAAACAAGCTCTCCTACTTAAATGCCCCAGCCCTAATCCTCCCCACAGAACACCATTTCAATTTATATGTCGATGAGAGGCGAGGTATGGCTTTAGGAGTACTTACACAGGATTGGGGACCCCCTCAACAGCCTATAGGGTATCTGAGTCATGAATTAGACATTGTAGCAAAGGGATGGACTTCTTGCCTTAGAGCTATGGCAGCTATAGCTCTCTTAGTGCCAGAGGCATCCAAGTTAACTTTAGGTAAAGATCTCACTGTATACACGCCTTACAATGTGGCAGGACTTGTTTCATTCAAAGGGAGCCTTTGGCTATCAGACAGCTGACTTCTTAAATACCAGGATTTACTTCTAGAAGGACCAGCCATTCAAATAAAGATATGCTCCTCCTCAAACCCTGTTACTTTTTCCCAGAAGAGGAGGAAATTGAGGCTAACAGACATGATTGTGAACAGGTAATTCTCCACACATATGCAGCTAGAGAAGACTTATTAGACATACCCCTTACTAACCCTGATTTGACCCTTTTTGTGATGGCAGCTCTTTCATGGAGAATGCGACGAAGAAGGCAGGGTATGCAGTGGTAACTGTATATCAGACTCTTAAAAGTTCCTCACTTACACCTGGGACTAGTGCTCAGCTCGGAGCTCATAGTTCGGAGCTTATCCTGTCTATGGGAGGCCATTACCGGCTCTGCTTGGTGGAACTCTTTGTTGACTATATTCATAATAATCTTTGTTGACTATATTCATAATAATCTTGTTGATCTTATTATTTGGCCCATGCATATTTAATTGTTTCTTTGGCTTTATCTCCTCCAGATTTAAAGCTATATGCCTACCCAAGACGAAAATGCCTGGCATCTATTGAAGGCCTTTAGATGGACCCCCTGGAGAGTATCTCTGACTGCCAATCAACAACTATGACCCCTTTCAGCATGAGGAAGCCAGAGAGATCATCGCCCATTACTCCTCCACAGCAGTTTGGGTTACTTCAGAGGGGGGAATGTTATAGGCAGCTGAGTTAGATAGAAATATTATAGGTAGTCAGACAGGGTCAGGAGACTGGAAGGAGACAACATGAAAGACAAGATAAGATACATATTTGCTGTGGGCCAGACATCAGGACAAAGGACTAAACAAATACACCCACATACCTCCCTAGGTGTAAACATCAGGGATTGATATTCTAAACAGGTAGCGATTACCTTGAAGAGTTCCTGACCCAACCCCTTACAGGTAAAGCCCCTGTTCTCTATTCATGCCCGCTTGCTACCTGACTAGCTTCCCTATTTGATCTTGATTTAATCAATTTTACCTGAACAATTCTTACTGGCTGACTATAGTTTTGTCCATTTCCCCCTGTCTTGGACCTGCCTGACCTCGTGGTTTTGCTCTATAAAAGTTCCTAGAAAAGACAGAGTCCCAGGGCAACCCACTTGGGGGCCCCCTTCTGTCCCTCTCTTGGAAAGAAGCTTTCTTTCCCTCAATAAATATATTCTGCTCTTTAAAAAAAAATACACCGATGGTGGGAAGAGTTTTCCCATCACTGATATCACCCTGATCCAGCTAAGCAGTGGTTTCTCTGGCAGGGCAGGCAGGGAGAAAGAACCCATTCTGTCACTTTTATAGTACAGCCTCTGTGACTCAAGTGATGGGAAAGACAAAAGTAAACATGCTCTCTTGGAACCTCTAAAGGCATCTTCGGTGACACTTTTTTAAGGCTGGCCCATGGACAAGAGTCAGCCAAAAGCTCAATCCCAGTGCAGGGGCCAATGAAAGACAATAAGCCTAGTCATGGATACTGTAATGACTTCATTTATTTATCTTAATAAAAAAGTGAAATTAGGGGAAAAGGATTCTCAGATTGAGATATATCTGAAAACCCTGCCCAAATGACAGGAGAGGAGGAACACAGTAAACCTAGGTCAGGCTCTATGAATGCACTGTGCAAAGAACTTAGTTGGTACGAAGGACTTAGGTGTCTTTAGAAACTCTAACAAGTTCTCAGGGGGTACACAAGATCTGTGAAGCCTCAGGTCCACTCTAACTCCACCTCAGCCTTGGATATATTTCTTGAGCTGTACCCAAGGCATCTGAATGTCCCCGCAGCTGATTTGGCTTTGCTGCACTGCTACTGCCACCCATCCATCACACTCCAGTAACCCTTTCCACGTCCAAACACGTGGAACCCTCAGTGATGGCCCTGACGCTTGCAGTGAGTGTATGCACTGGTGCTTGGAGGCTCAGCTGATCCAGTAAATGAGGAAATCAAGCTGTGCGACTGAGCTTGGCCAGGACCCTCAAACTGCAACTGCCCCCAGGTCCCCACGCTCCTCTATTCAACTCTACCAAATCCAGAAGACACAAATGTGCTCGAGTCTTTCCCGCCATTGTTTTAAAAACTTTCCCTACACTCTGCAATGACAGACAATAAATACTCCAACACCCATTTGCAACTCATTAAACACCAAACACTTCAACAAGGAGAGATGAGTTCAGCAGCCAGGCTTAAAGATCTGGTGTGTCAGCCAGCCCCTGCAAAGAAGCCCAAGAACAGGGAGTTTGGACCCGGGGCATTGTTGATGACTTTGCACTGGTGAGCTCCTATATCTTGTTTGCTACTTTTAGGCCAACACCCTTCCTCTGAAATACCACAAGATCATGTTTCTAAATGTGCTAAGCAACATTATATAAAGTCATGCCTCCCAAATGTGCCCTGAGTTGGAACCACCTGTACCTTTAAAGTTAACACAAAGTTAGGACAAACAAAAAGGAATACAATACTAGAAAACTTGTGGATCTACTGAAGCCCCAACGCACAGAAGCTAAAATGATCACAGCCTACAGGGCAGAGTTCAACCTAAAAGGGAATCCTGGCACTCAAAGATGAGCATTCCTGAAGATATCTCTAGGATACTTCAAGTTGCTACCAGGAGAGACGGTCACTTCCTCTCCTCTACCCAGCCCTATGTCAGTGATCTTACAACCACACTACCCAGAAGCAGTTTCTCCTAAATTACTGCTCATGTGATCCCTAAAGTTCCCCAGTATACTGGGTGTGGTTAACTGCACACATGTCCTCCTTGCTGATGGATTATGTGCTTCACTGGCCAGCACGTGGGAGACACCACAAGTTTTTTGAGCAGGAAACATAAACCAAACCACCCCTGGAACTTGCTGTGGCTGGCTCTGCTTATGGGTCCCAGACTCTGCCTGGGTAAAGAAGATTCCTGCCTGTCTTCCTCCTCGCCCTCACCTGCCCAGCAGTGATGGCAAACCTTTTAGAACTTCCAATGATACAAACACCCCACTGCAGCACACGTGCCACAGGTTTACCACCACTGCCCTAGAGCTCACTACTCTGGCAGAGGGGCCCACGGTACTGTCTTCTTTTGCCCCAGTGGTCTCTTCAGGTGGGACTATGCACTCTTTCCATTCACGGACTCTAGGTTCTCCTTGTGAGTGAACACAGTGCCTGCATGCTACACAGCCATCTTTCCTAGGTAGGAAATAATGAAGGGAGGGAAATAATGACCACATTATTGGTCAATGGTCCTTTAGGGAACATGGGTAGGAAAACGCATTTTCCATGCTGCCACCTTTACCTGGACACTGGCCTAACAATTTATTATGCATGTTTCCTTCCATAAAACTGCCTGTTTACACTTACATGAACAACAGATGGTGACATGAAAATGGAAAATGGGAAAGAAAGGAAGGGAGGATCATATGAATCCAAGCTCTACTTCGAAAGCTGGTGGTCCAGGGACTACCCTATCCCTGTTATTCTTCCTGGGATTAACACAACCCCAGGTTGCCTGGTTACAGGGGGAAATGGCAACCTGGATTCCCAGACTGGACATATTGCTGCTGTGACCTATTGCTCAGGTTTGTGGCACCTGCTGCTGTTCGCCCATAGGCACACTCACCGTAGGCAAGTGGCTCTCTCATGCCGTTCCACACCTTCCCCACACTCCTGTCTGGGCACCTTTGTCCATACCCTTCTTCTCCATCCTGCACCACACATCCCCTTTGTGCCTCACTTCCTCCCCAGAGCCTTCCCTCTAATCAATTCTCTTTTTGTAATATTTGCAGTTAATCTTATGTAGAATCATGTTTTAAAAAAATACTGTCTCCCTTTTTAATATGCCTTACATCTCCTGACCTCTAAGCTCTCACAGGACAGAGATGTGCTTTCCATTTGTCTAACATCTGCCAGGCTTCCTTTGGTGACCACCTGCAAGCTGGCCATCGATAATTCTGGCTATTGGGAGATGTGGTCTATCCTCCAGGACACCTGGCCTAAGGTCATCTGTCTTGGTCAATAGCATGTGGTGGCAGTAATGCTATGTTAGTTCTGGGACCAAGTCTTATGAGGCCCACGGCTCTTGCCTTCATCCTGTTGGAAGGCAGTAGCTCAGGTCAGACCAATGAATAAGAGGGTAGGTGGAGACACAGACCACCTGGAGGAGAACAGAGGTCTCAGACATGGGAGTGAGGCTATTTTGGGTCTTCTAGCCCTAGTCAATGCCATGTGGAATAGAGACATGCTGTCCCCACCATGACCTGTGAGAATTCCTGATCTATACAATCATGGTTACTACTTTAAGCCACTAAGTCCTAAAAAAATGTTTCAGTTATCTCTCATTGGCAAACTTGGGATTTCTAGAACATTTGTTCCTACTGGAGAGCTAAAGACACAAACCTTTCCATGTGGGTAAACCCCAATGCTAATTTCTTACAGCACATGATTACCAGAGCTGCAATCTATGAAGCAAGGCTACTCACCAGATTCTCATTGGTCAGCCGGGATATTTCCTGCTGGACACCAAAGTCCACCTGGGCCTCTGGGGAGAGCAGCAGTGTCTGGCAGAAGGTCTGTTGCTGCTTGTCCATCTCCTCTTTCAGAGCCTCCAGCTGGGCCTTGAGATTTTCCACTTCCTCCTCATGCTCGAGGCTCTGGGCCTGCAACTGTGCTTCCAGCAGCCTATAGCCAGGAGAGGAGGACAGGTGACCATGTGGACTGGGATGGCTCCCCCAGCTGAGGACCACAGACAGAAACACACTAGGGAGCGGCCAAGCACACAGCAGCAAGTGGGTATCACCAGGAGGGGATGACTGCAGCAGAGAGACAGACGCTGTGGAGGTCATCAGGCAAGCAGGCCCACCTTCGTCCTCTCAGATGATGGGAAACCAAGGCCAAAGGCATCCCTGGGTTTAGGCTTTTTTTTTTTACTTGTTCTTCATTCTGTGAGCTTAACCTCTTGGTTTGGGACTGAGAAACTATCTCCAAGTCAAAATATCACCAGGACAAATAAATTTCATATAGTGTCCTTTAAATTCACGCAACTTCTCAAAGTGATACAATGAATGAGGATATGATCAAGGACCTCATTCATTCAGCACAGGTCTATTACCAAAGGAAAATAATAACTTAAAGACTATAGGGTACAATTTCATAATTAAATTGGCATTTTAGATAACATAACATTTAGATGATATCCATGTTGGCTACAATATGCTAAAAGTTATCAGCAGTATATCGTAAATTTAACAAGAGGGCAGGAACACCTGGGTTCTAGGCATGCTGCCCAGGGAAGAACTTCATGACCTATGCTGTGCGTTCCCTGTTTGTGACCGCATTGCTAAGTGGGTGGTGGTGGATTCAGGCCCAGGGCTTGGTGCAATGCCTTGGTGCAAGCCCTGTCCAAGCATCAGGCTAACCTCCTCAATGTGCAAGGAAGAAAGATAAGGCTAAGAGGGCACCAGGCCACAGCCGGGGCAAGGGTGTTTTAGTAAGTTGGGTCTGCAGAGCACCGCAGATCTATATGCTATTTTATTAACACACTCATTTACTTACTCATTATATTACAACTGAGCTGCTGACAGAGTGACATGAGGAATGACCTAGTTTGGCACATGGGCCCCTCTTCCAATAAAACAAATTTCTAGGTGGGCAGTAATGTGATCTTTTTGAATAATAACCACCTTAGTAACATAAGCAGCAGCTATCTAATGTTTATTCTGCTTGCCACACAGGCATGTGCAAAGAGCTTTGCCTTTATTAATCACTTCCCCTATAATGACTCTGTGCAGCAGGTCTCATTCTGATTCACTGCCTTCCTGTAATCCCACTGTCACCTTCCTCACAGGGTGTAAGGCCACAAATAAACCCAGAGAAAGGGTGCACAGGCAGGAGACACGATGCCTCCCTTGTTGCCGGGACAGAACCTCTACCACTTTGGCAGTGGCAGTAGGAAGAGCGCCTACTCTTCTGTGAGAGAGGAGCACGAGTGCAGGGTGCCAGCGCCTGCTCCACTCTGTCACTGCCTTGCTGAGGGAGCCACTGATGGCACTCATGTCACCTTTCTGAGCCTCTCTTTCCTTTTCTGGGAAACAAACCTAAATAGCATCACCTCATTTCTTGTTGGGAAGCTCAAAAAAGCTATGACACAGCCCCTAAAAGTCACATACTAGCAACAAACACGGAGACCATTGCATTGTGTTCTTTTATCCATTGCTTAAGGTTGACAAGTAACAGTTCAGACCCTGGTATCAAACGCTAGATCTTCTGCTTACCCAGCAAGTCCCTGAAACCCTCCAAGCACAGTGCCCTTGCCCATGAGGATGTGTGAGGGTCAGACACTGCAGTGACTGCATGGCGCTAGGCTTTGTGAGCTCCAGGGACCCTTGACACAAGGACCAGCCTGTGTGCAGATGGCAGGTGCCAAGGAGCCCTGCATTTGGAGCACGGCTGAGAGCCACATCGTGACCATGGTTTTGGCTGATCCTGTAGATCATAGAAGCAGCACAGGCTTGCAAGTCCCCAGAGGTAAATCTTCTTAGTATTTCCCTGAACAGCTATGTGCCTGCCATCACGCAAGCTCCCCCTCTTCTCCATTTCTGCACCGAGAGAATCAGGGAGTTGGATCATGTGCTTTCTAAGGTTCACCTGGGCCACCCAGTGCTATCAGCTTGACCCAGACAGGCAGCCTCCCCTAAGCCATCCACACAGCCTGAACACAAATGGACAGGCAGCTCCAGGGATCACTGGCCAGCAGCCCATGTTAACCATGCCCTGTGCCCTGTGCCCCTCCAGCCAAAACACGAGGAGCATAGACGTGAGCAGCACACAGGAGAAACAGACACAGGGAGACGGGAGTGAATTTGACCTGGCCACTTCCTTTAGGCCTTGGTAGGCCAAGCCGAGTTCTCCATCTTCATTCAAATATCCCCAATCCTCAGTCTGGCTAGAAATAAAGGATAGAAAAACACGTGTCCAGTGTAGAGGAGAGAGACAGGCAGGTGGAGAATCCAGAAGCATGAGGAGATTCTAGCAAGGGTCTGGAAACCGGGAAAAAGGCAAGGAGGAGCTCCCCTTCACCCATCTTTCTTTCTGGCTCCCACACTCTGGGTGCCTGTGGACGGCACCGCTTCCAAGTTTCCTACATTTCAGTTTCTGTCTGGCAAGCAGGTTCATGCGGCATCCTCTGAGGTCCACTAACAGTCACAGGTGGGGACACATGTTGCCAAGGAGACTGCAAAGGGCTGCACCTCCTCTCGTCACTGTGGAAAGAGGACGGACACAGAACTCCCGCAGGTCACACCCAGCCCACTGCCTCCTGCAGAGGAAAGGCTGCAAACAGGGCTGGGAAGAGAGAAGCCAGTGAGTTCGCAGAGAGCTACAGGGGTGAGTAGGCTCCCACAAGGGAGGACGCCGGACTGCCACAAAGCAGCTGGTGAAGCTCCTGGGGCTCACTGGCCTCAGCCAGGATCAGAGAGCACATTTCTCCTACTTTTCAGTGAGCTTCTTTCTGCCATGCCTCACAGGCACAAAGGCATTCACTAACCTTAGCCCTAGCTCTCCTCACGGAGTCTAAAACACGTTCACAGGATGAGAACCGAATGATTTGTCCTCCTGACTTCGGCAATTGGTACATTCTCTGGTTTATTAACTCGAGAAAGCAGGTCACCAGAGACCTTGCATCCATGCACCGCTGCTGTCTCTAGGCTGTGCAGCTCTGGGAGGGCAGTGATGTCAATGCTCCTCTCCATTTGCCTCCCCACTTCACACAGGTCTGGGAACAGTTCTTAAAGGCCAGTAGGGCTAGGTGGTAGAGGACAGGGCAGATACAGCTGTCTCCATTAGGACTCTGCCCATGAATAATGGAATAGGAGCTGCAACCATGCTGCTGGATAGATGATCAGTGACCCTTTTCTAGTTCCCACTGGTAAACTATTCATCCTCAGGAAGGTTTCTGGCCCAGGTGAGCCACCATCTTGCCCCACCGGCTTTTGTGTGACATCCAGGGAGTGAAACTACCCACTATAGGTCCCCCAGAGCTCAGCTTTAAGCAGGTGATCCTCAGACCTTGAGCTGCTCATATGAGCTGCTTCTTGGGCAGAGTTAGCCATGTCTACACACTGAGCTTTCGCTGAAGGTCTGAAGGAAGAGGGTAGATGCCAGGGAGGCCACTTCCGGGGCCACTTCTGGCTTCTGTTCTGTGGGCCAGCCCCTTTCTGTCATGAGTATTTTCCTGTGGTTGAAAACTGAGGGGGGCTACAGCCAACTGGGTCATCTTGGACACCCCTCCCATCCAGGATTTCTGCCCCATAAATGCCTAGAGCTCCCCAAATAGTGCCTCTGGTAACCTGCCTACAGCCACACCACCCTGAACATGCCTGATCTCGTCTGATCGTGGATGCTAAGTAGGTTCGGGCCTGGTTAGTACTTGGATGGTAACAGTCCACCTTTTCTGCTCATGGTTAGGACTTAGCCCTTCTGTTTCACTTTCCCAAAAAAATCGAAAAGTGACCTGAGGCTGCGTGTTAAGAGGGAGCGCCTTCCCTCTCAGCTGTTAATGCTTGAATTTAGCAAGGGCCTTGTTTGAGTAGAGCTTTACCCTAAAGGAGGGCCCTGAAGGGCATGCCACAGGGCAGAATGGGATGAATGCAGAGATCCTCTGACTGCAGCCATCTCCTTCCCACAGTGGAGAGACGTTGGCACCTGGCAAGGGCCCCTCTCGTCTCCTGACCTTGCCCAGAAGCTTCTCTGGCCTCATGTTGCCAGCAGGCCCTTCAGAGCCTCCAAGGGGCTGCTGGGTCTCCCAGAGTCACCTCATTTCTATAGTTCCTATCATCACAACCACACTCTAGGGTAGCACGTGTGTGAGGCAGAGACATACCTTGAGGAAGTTAGCACTTCCCTTATTACCAGCTTCAGAAGAATTCAGATTTCTGAACTCTAGAATTTCCCAAGTATTGTAGACAGAGATAAAAGGGAGAACTGCACAGCCTAGGCACTCCACAGTGTTCAGACAAGAGCGCACACAAGGAACCAAAACCCCAGCAAAACCACTTGGTAGAGGCGTTTGCTGATAGCTGAAAGAAAATCAAACCCCAGAGGTGGCTCTCACTGCTCTATACCCAGGCCTTTCGGGATGACAGCCAGAGAGGAAGCACCAACTGCTGGTAGGAAAAGGAAAACCCCACACAGGTCACAGTATTCTTTTCAAATACTTCATGTTAATTAATAAACCAACAAATACTTATTTAGAACCTCCTGTGCACAAGCCACTGTGCTGATCCCGTTTCCACAGCGGCCACACACATAAATAAGCAGTAAGCAGGCTCTGACTGCGGGAGGCAGCCAGGGGCAGTGTGGGGAACACAGGCCTTCCCAGGTAATTCTATCAAGGCCTGGCCTGGGCTCTTTAACTGTGCTTCCTGGGCCTGTTTCTTCATGTCAGCTCAAAGTGGTCCGCTGAGTGATATCAAAGGTCTTTTTATATTTTAAATTATTAGCTAAACAGGTCATGCACCAAATATTTACTTTCCCTTCTGTGGAGATCTTGGAAAACAGGATCTAACCACCACCCCTCTGCCAGGGCTAAGGGACTGCCTCTTTGCAGACAGAAACAGACATGGCCCCTGCTTGCTCAGAGATGGTCAGGTCTCTGCTTCTAGAAAGACTCAGTGTGCTTCAGGTACTTGTATTTCTTAAGTTCACTTGGGGGCTTCCTCCTCAGCAAGTGCCTAAAGCACACCGGTCTCAGAGATCACAGTGAAGTAGGAGAGGGATTCCAAACACTAGGAACACAGAAGCACCTCAGGCAACAGGCTTGGCCACACAAGATGAACAGCTGTGAACAGGTATAGTTTATGCATCAAGTTACAGCAGATTGTAGCTGTTGCTACTGATTCAGGTCCAATGCAGTGAGAGAAACACTGCATAGACAAAAGCTCAGTTTCTGGATAGGAACAGTTAAAGGGATGCCTCTTCAGGAGGGAGCTGGCAGAATCAGGCTCTTTTCTCACCGGCTCTGAGCAAGATATCCTGCAGCAAATGGGCTCAAGCCTACACGAGCCATTTGATTCCATGCACAACTCAGGGAGACGACACACACTTTTGCCTTGGCAAACATTATCCACATTGCCCTAGCAGACTGACAGAGGTGGTGGTGGTGGTGGTGGTGGTGGTGGTGTGTGTGTGTGTGTGTGTGTAACTCCAGGTGTACCTACTCCTGCTTAGGTGGCAACAACAAAGCTCTTCTGGGTGCCAAGGGCCTCCAGTTGTTCCCTGAGACTGCCAGAGGAAAGGGGCTGCAAAGAGGGGTCCTGGGACCTGAGGAAAGGTCCTGACAGCACCATCAGACTCAATTTTGAGTTCTACAGCCTTGGCAGGGCTTGGAGGGAAGTGGCCCGGGGTCAAAGGAGACCTATATTGGAGCCAGACCTGACTCCTACTACTTTCATGCCTGACCTTACTCTGTGACTCTGAGCACACGGCAGTAGCAAATGCTCTCCCAACCCAGACAGCCTAGAGAAGACAAAAGACTTCCAACATCCAGCCTGGCTTTCTCAGCCTCTCTTTCCCTTAGCTTTCTTGCATATAAAATAGTCGTATCGATACTGGTTTCTCTTAGTTCCTGAGCTGGAAGTGTGAGAAAGCTAGTGGAAACAGAAGTGGAAGAGCTATCTGTGTTACTGGGCTCCTGCCAGAACAGCCTCTCTACTGCTTGTTGCCCCAATCGAGTGGGGAAACCCTCAGTTGTAAAGACCAGAACAGAACTTTATGAACTATGAGAATCAGTAAGAGAACCTTGGGGCCTGTGGATGTGTGATAGAGATAGGGGTATATGTGCCTGGAATCTCTCCCCAAATGTAAGTCAGTGTCTGAATGTAACATTTTGTGCACATAGGACAGATACTATCAAAATCCTAAAGGGTCCCAGCTTAACTCCCCTCCCTCAATCACACACGAATATACACGATTTTTATGTAACCTGCAAAGTGCTCCATTGCAGGACAGTTGTAGGAAAGAGTAAATCTCCATCTCAGCAGCAGGGCACCTTGTCGTGGTGGGAGGCCCTTGCTGGCCGGGCTCCTGAGAACCACTGTGGGACCCCTAGCTGGCCTGCTGGAATGCCCTCTTCACTCAGTGCGGGAGTCACTGTAATGATAACATTTGCTCAAAGCCAAGTCTGAAGCCAAATTGGGAGACAGCCCCAGCACAGTAACTTCTAACACCCGGTGAGGCAGGCGCTGGGGACATAGGCCCAACCCTCCTCCTCCTCCTGACAGCAGCTCATAGGCTATTAGCTGACTATTATATGCTGGGAATGGAAGTATTTTCAGATATAATAACACCATTATTATTTTATCACCTTCATCATTATTGCTATAAAGATAACAAATCCAGGGGATTAATTAGCCTCGGGAAAACCTGGTCTGGACTGATCCCTGACACCATGGGGATAGATAGGGATGATAACAGCGCGTTTGGAAAAACACAGAGATAAGCAGAGCACAGGCTGCTGCTTTCTTGAATATCACCTGTGCATTTTTCTTGATCTCACTCCTTATCTTCAACTCAAGATAATTTAAAATGGCTAAACCTTCCCTCAAGTTCTACCAGTGAGGGAGTCACCTTCACTCCTTCTCTCCATCCTTTAGGGAAAGAATTATCTCTCTTGAAATACATTTCCTTTCCTCCTAAGGTCCCTTCTGATTATCTACTTTCGTGCTACCAAATGGCCTCAGCCTAGGAGCCACGATTGCTGGATTCTATCCGGACTCAGTAAAAAGCCACTTGTGTCCTGACTGCTCAACCCTCTGGGCCTCAATTTCCTCAGCTGCAGAAAGAGAGACTGCATTAGCAGGTCTGGAAATCAAAGCGCTAAGTCCTCAGTAACACTGTGAGAGTCCTGAAGGAACGTCTGGTTGTACTTACAGTGCCACCTACTGACATTTTCTGGAAGTGCTTCCTATTTTCGGCAATTTTGAACAAATGTTCAGTGATTGATAGCTCAACAGGCAATTAATTGAGATGAGAGAGGAAGAAAGACAGGGAAAAGGCCAGTTCTAATTTTACAAGAGCCCACAGGGGACAAGAAAATAAAGCTTGAAAAGGCAGTAACATTCACTACATGCTTAACACACATTCGAAGTGCTTTACTCAGACTAACTTACCTAGTCTTTTCAATACCCACAAAAGGCACACTGCTATGTTTGCTTGTTTTTTTTTTTTGTTTTTTGTTTTTTGTTTTTTGTTTTTCTCTGGTACGGGGAACCAAACTCACGACCTTGCGCTTGCCAGGCAGGCGCTTTGCTGCTGAGCTAAATCCCCAGCCCCTAAGGCACACTGCTATGACTATCCTTAATTCACAGATAAGGTCCTCAAGGCATTGAATATTTATGCAATAGTTACAGTGAATAAGCAAGTGGACTCCAAGCCCATAATCAGAGCCAGCACTCTGCCACACCTCATGGATCTGGGGAGTTTCCCTCTGTCCACTGCCAACCCCCCGCCCTACTGCCTCTCTCAAGCAATCACTCTCTTTTGACTTAATCTTTGGTTAGCTCATTGTTGCAGAGGCAGACACTGCTGGTTAACTAAAATCCAGGGAAATCTCCTTTTGGCTAAAACGGGAGAGGGAAAACCCTTCCATTCAACTTCGGTAGAACCTAACTTGGGCTCAACCCCTTCTAAGTGACAGGGGATGGGCCCCACCACAGAAGTGAGGATGGCATTGCAGCAGTCTGGAGCAGGCCCGCACTATTATTTGAGCTCCCTCTCCACTATGCTTGGCCAGTCTGAGTTCTCTGCTTCCTGTCATCCTCCTATGGAAGCCCTCTTCCTAACACATCTAGGCAACATCGGTTCTAGTGGGTCCAGGTTTGTCGCTCCAGTCTTGCTGATGCTAATGGGAGGATTCCGAAGGGTCTGAGGCTAATGGAATCTACTTCCAAAAGATAATTCCCTGATGCCAGCCAGTACCTGAGGATCAGGTGGGAAGGGCCCTCCTCCCATTGCCTTCTCCAGGTATAGCTTACAGAGAGATGAGCCTTACCTGTTTGTCTGGCAGACCCCATGATAGGCTTCAATGGCATCCTCCTGATCCACGTGTTTTTCACTGTTAGGCCAGCTTGTTCTAGCATTAATGTTCGGCTCCTGGAAGGCCCCAGATGAAAAAATAAACAATCTCTGGCTATAAACATCTGCCATGAAATGATTTCATATATAAAGAGAGTTATAAAGATATGTTTTGGGAAAAGACAAAGACCTAGGAGGACTCAGAAAACTGCAGTTAAACACAGGCAGAAATGTGATTTCAAAAGGTCACTTTCAAAGGGGCACAGAATGGCAAAGCCTGGCTGGAAAACATTGAGTGCAAGCAATGCAGGAGATGGCATAGACAGCGTCCTTGGGAAGAGAAACCCTGCTGAGAGGGCATGATTAGATTCTGGCTCAGTGTTGAACCGCCACACTCATTACCACCTTCTTACCCCAGACCCAGAAGTGGCCCAGATTATTAGAGCCAGTGGAATGACCCACATGGCTTCTGTCCCCTCCTTCTCCTCTATAATCTGTCCCAGAAGGTGAGAACATTAGGAACAAACACTAATCAAGACATGCCACCATGGGAGGGTTGAGACAGAACATTTCTCTCACTTTAGAAACAAACAGCAAGAGGCATGATGTAAAAATCATGGTCACCTCAGGTTATGTATCTAATTCTTTGTTTTGTTCCCTCTGAATGTCTTAGCAAATTCAGAAGCTTCTAGAAACTTCTAGCTCCATTTCTCAGGAAAGATCACAGTCAAAGAGCAGCAAGTCCTTTATGCTGCCCTTAGAGGAGATCCAGAGTAAATGAGACTGCTCTTTTAGGTTTAAGACCATTGTGCATAAAATACCTAAGACAATCCAAATTTATTACCCAGTGTCACCCCCAGACAAGCCCAATCACGGCCGCCATCTTGTTACCGTGCTTTTGCCAGCAAGTCGGTGCTGGTCAGCGTTCACGATCTGGGTCCTGAGGATGAGCACCTCCTCCTTCCGGACCTCGAGCTCCTCATTGGCTAGCTTGAGTTGGTTCAGCAGGAGGCTGTAACCATCTGGGGAACTGTGAGGAAAGTTGTTCTGTGTGGCTTGATCAGCTACAGCTTTCCTCAGCTCGTTTAGGTCATTTTTTAGCTTCTTATTCTCCGATTCCAGCTCTTGCCTCTGGAAGAAAGGCCAAATGACAACCCTTTTACAGTCTTAGATGGTCTTCTCCCCTGCCTTAACCAACTCAGTGTGGCTGAAAAGGTGAGAAGTAGGCATTGCCTGCATGTGTGTTGCACAATCACAGGATAATGGAACCAGGACCACTGGGTACAATCTCTGTTTTCTGAATGTGAAAATGGAGTCCAGCAAGGGGAAGGTGACAGAAAGTTTAAAGGCTGAGCCTGGGCAAGGAGCTGGGACTCTCACCATCTGACTCAGGGTCTTTCTTACTACTTCAACATATATGTGAAAGATTCTGGAGGAGACAGAGAGCCATGCATGGAGAGAGCGCTTCTGCAGATATGAAGAGGGCTCTGGGACAAGGAGACTGATCTTTAATGATTATTGATGAACTCATCAAGCCTATGGTGAGTCTATTTATTAAGTTCAGGAGAATTCACTCAATGCCTGAGTGATTTCCTGCTAGCAGCAGAATGTTATTCTCAGAAGAGTCAGCATCACATGGTAGAGGAAGAGCGGACTTGGAGCAGGAGCCTGGGTCCTCATCATGCACAGCTCAAGGTGTACCCTGCACAACCCTGGACCTCAGCCTCAGGTCCAGGTCCAGGTCCAGGTATGGTTTAAGGGAACAACACAGATGGTGGCTAAAGTTTCCTCCAGTTCTGATTAGCCCAGATGGGCTCTGGGGCAGTAGCTGTAGACTGGCTGGCTGGGTTACAGCCATTCCAAGTTCCCACTCAGGAGTGAGCTCTTGTTCCAAGACAAAGGGGCCAGCCTGAGGGAGAGCTCCTGCTGTTTGTTACAAAGACTCCCACCCAGGGCACACCTGAGAAGTATCTAGTCTGTTCTCCAGCTGTCCCTGGATACTATCCACCTAACCATACCACCTCTGCTCTGCTGTCCACCTGACTTACCATTTCCATGTCAGTCTACCCAGCCATATAGTGCCATAAAAAGCTACATGGGCTTTATTGTGGTTAAAAAAATACACAAAATTTACCATCTCAACTGTTTTTAGCTATGCAGTTCTCTAGCATTAAGCATGTTCACAGTGTGGTACAACCATCCCTGTTATCAACTCCTTCACCTTCCCCAACTGAAACTGTTCCTGTTAAAAACCCAGCTCCCTGGCTCCACTCCCTGGGCCCCACAACCACCACTCTCTGCTTGACTTACTCCTCTAGGTACTCTTAAGTGGAATGGGATAGTATTTAGGTGAAGTATGTTTTTGATGCACCCAAATGTCATGCCATTTCCTTGGAGGACAATGCAGTTCCACTGTTTTATCCTCCCTTTTGCTAGACAATATGGCTCTGTGCTAGGGACACAGTACCTGCTTAGAGCCTAATGACTATACGAAGGTACAAATCACTGCACTGCAGTGGGGAATTGCTGTGAACCAGGGGTCATGGGAGGTCTCCATCTATAGAGTCTCAGAGCTAAAAGTAGGCTCCCTGGAAGAGATGTTAAATCTGACAACTAAGGACCAGGAGCAGTTAGCCAGGTGAGATTCCCAGGCACAAAAACCCCAACAAAAGGAGAAAGGCCAAGGCTTGCAGAGGAAATGCAATGCAGGGCAGAGTAGGGGAGGAGTCAGGAGGTGCAGGTGAGGGCTGTGAAAAATGAAGGAAGGAGCTAGACTCAGGAGCTTGTAGTGCTGGGCAGAGGCAAGAGCAAGGTGGCACAGGTTGTGGCAGGGACCAGAGTGGGACATAGATGTGCCTCAGTCAGGAGATAAACTGTCAGAACTTCGTTACTAGGTGAGAAGGATGTTTGGGCCATGTGGATGACATCTATTGAAACCAGTAAGCCCAAGAAGGGCTCTGCGGTTCAGATGCATCTGTCTGTGGTCCCCATGGCACATGAGAAGTCAGAATTATGGGTCGAGGATTCTGACTAAAGGTGGTAGAGATGGATCAGTAAGAGCGTGGAGAAAGACTGAAGTTTGAGAGGGTATGTGACGATGGGGGTGGGGAAGGGCTGAACAATTCAGGTAAAGGATGCAGAGCATGGCTGAGAGCAGGTCGAGGGTGGGATGTTATTACCCTGTACTCCTGGTTTCCCTTCTCTGGATAGCACTGTGGCCTGTTCCTGGGCATCTCTAAATCAAGTGTGTACTGGATGGACACTTCCTGCAGAGGGTTCTGGCATCTATTATTTCCCTTCATTTTAATGCATCTCTGGAGAACACTTTATAAAAGGGTCCACTGCAAAGCAGGCCATATTTCACACAGGAAGAGTGTTAATTTGGGAGGTTGCACAATTTCAAGTAAAGGATAAATGCACTTCTTTTTCTTTATTTAGGGGAGGAATGCCAATTTTAGGCTGGCCTTTTTTTTTTTTTTTTTTTTTGGTATCAGGAATCAAACTCAGGAACTTGCTCTTGCCAGGCAGGTGCTTATGCCACTGAGCTATATCCCCAGCTCTAGGCTGGCCTTGAACTTGCAATTCTTCTGCCTTACTCTCCCAAGCAGTAGCATGCCCACCACCCAACTGATATAATGGTGTTACAATCAACACCACCCTGCAGCCCTCTAACTTTGTAATGTTTTAAACCAGTAAAACCAATCCATATTCCATAAATAAACTAAATCTGTACAATCAGTTCTGTCTCACAAATCCATCCTCAACAGTGATTGATGCAGTTTATTTCCCTAAAATTCTGGAGGATAACATTTTTTTTTTTTTTTTTGGTTTTTCTCAGGTACCGGGAACTGAACTCACGACCTTGCGCTTGCCAGGCAGGCGCTTTGCCACTGAGCTAAATCCCCAGCCCCTATTTCCCTAAAATTCTGAAGAGTTTTAATGGAATAATTATGGATGACTCATCTGTCTTTTAAAAAGCAAGCAAAAAAGCCTAGTTTTACCACAGTATACTTATGAAGTACAATAAAGCAATTAATATGCTCGGCAATTAAGAGAGTGTTTAAGAAAATGGTTATAACCATATTATAAGATTTTAACCAACCACAAAAAATCATGTTTTCAAAGAGATTAGGAAGAAAAATGCTTGTTAGCTTAAGTGAAAAATCGCAAAATATAAAGTTTCCTCTATCAGATATATAAATAATGCAGTGACACCTAACTGTGTCAATTTGATTATCCTGGGAGCTGCTGTGGTGATTCATGAACTACATTTCTGGGTGTGTCTGGTGGGCCGTGGAGCTGTGACCTTGGACATCATATCTGATCCTTTACCCTCTTCCTCTCTGGCACGGTTCCCAGTTGCCATGACCAAATCTCTTTGCTCTGCAAACCCTTCCACGGTCCTGTTTCTTCCTTCCAGTCCCCTGACAACAGATGGACTGAACCCCCTGAAACCATGAACCACATTAACCCTACCCTCCTTTAAGTGACAGGTATTGAGTATCATGTCCTGGTGACAGGAAAGCTGACTAACACAAATAATATTCATAGAAAAAGCTCTGAATATCCAAATAATATCAGAGGGTGCCTCCAAGAGAAAGTACTAACAGATTTTTAAAAAATTGTTTGAACTTTTTGGATAAAAAAATTTCTAACATGAGCAGAATCATTTTTAAAAATTTACAAATAGAATGAAAAGCTTCTGTACAAAAGGAGCATTAAGGAAATTTAAAAAAAAAATCACTGCTAGGACCTTCTTAATTGACCTTTTTCTGGCCCATGCTCACCAAAGTTTGGGTGGTGGCTAACAATGAAAAGTATTTACATGTCAGTGTGGGCTCTTAGTTGCTCTGTTTTTCTTTCCTGAGCTCTGAGGAAACAGTGGGCACTATTTCTTGATCTCAACTCAACTAAGGCCCGAAGCAGCAAATCCAAAGCTGCTGAATGCCTTGAGCAGGTCCACTTTTTGCCCAGCAAGCTCTGTGGGAAACAGCTCCTTTTGGCCTCCTGGCCTGTCCCCCGTCTTGTGCTTGTCCCCAAGGACAGTAAACTTCTCCTCTCCCTGGCCCCACATCTACCTTGCCTGCTCTAATCACTTCTCCTGCCACTGTCCTCTGCCTTGATGCCTTGGTCCAGGCTGATGGCCCCTGACTGGCATCCCATCCCACATTCCTTTAGGCTAACTTGAACAATGCTAGATGTGACAAACCTGAAGACCTTCCACTTGACATCACCTCCAACAAGTGGCATACTCAAGCCTGTGTGTAGCACCCAAACAATGTGCCTCTGCTCAGAGCAGAGCTGGGGTTACTTTATACATTATAGAAGGATCTGACAAAATGTCTAAACTTCTGGTAGGAGGTATCGAGGGTTTGATCTAAATTTACTACTCACTGAGGGGTCCTCCCAGTGTAGCATTATCTTACTAATGCACATATGGCAGGTTTCTCAAGTCCAACTAGACAAGGCTCCAGTTAGAAGAGAGCTAAGTAGCCAGGTGTGTCAACTCACTGTGTGGCCCAGAGCTTTGTCTTAACACTGGGCTAAACTATCTTCTTAGTTCTGCATGGATAGGTGGTGCTGCTGCTCCCCAAAGAGTAAGGAATTCTTATGTTCCTGGTCTCCTCTCTGAGGTGAAGCTTTCCACAAAAGGCAGCTGAAGAATGACTGCAGAAGGCCCCCTGCAACTAGTATTATAACACAGACCCTGGGCTCCTTGGGAGGTTTTAAATCTCTCAAGTATCACATGAAGCAAGTAAGTCTAGGCACTAAATCCAGAAAAGTACCTGATAAAATGCACCACTCCACAGGCCATTGGTATAGCCCTGATTGTTTAAAAACCTAAAAGGTGGTGCCAAACTGGATTTCCACAGGCAAAAATATAAAGTTGGATCCTTACCTCATACCATATACAAAAATTAACTCAAAATGGACCAATGACCTAAATGCAAGACCTAAAACTATAATACTCCTAAAGGAAAACACAGAGCAAAATCTTCATCACATGCAATTCGGTAATGATTTCTTAGCTATGACATCAAAGGCACAGGCAAAAAAACCAAAAAACAAAAAACAAAAAAACCCAAATACAATAACAACAAAAAAACAGGACTTCAGGGGGAAACAAAGTTCATGAAAACACATTTTCAACAGGAAGGATGTATGTGGTAGCGCATATTTTTGATCCCAGGTACTGAGGAGGCTGGGATAGGAGGATCACAAGTTAGAAACCATCCTGTTTGATTTAGGGAGACCCTGTCTTATAATAAAAAAATCAAAAGGGTTGAGGTTGTAGCTTATTGCTGCAGCACTTACTTAGCACACACAAGGCCCTGGGTTCAATCCTTACATCCCCACCATGACATTATCAACAGAGTAAAAAGGCAGACCACAGAATGAGAGAAAATATTCACAATTCTTACATTGTATAGCGGGGCTGGAGATGTAGTCCCAGGGTACATTACTTGCCTAGCATGCATCAGGCCCTGGGTTCAATCCCCAACAGACCAAAAACAAAACAAAACAAAACAAATAACTGATAAGGGACTAATATCCAGAAAATGTAGAGAACTCCTAAAACTCAATAATTAAAAAAACCTGAAAACTAGCTTTTCAAATGCCAAAGACTAAAACTAGACCCATGTCTATCACCATGCACCATACTAAAGTCAAAATGGATTAAAGTTCTAAATATCAAAACAGAAACACTGAATCTATTGGAAGAGAAAGTAGGTAAGAATCTTGAAGACATGGAGTAGGCAGAGAGTTCATGAACAAAAACCAAACTGCACAGGAAAGACTTCAAAGAATCAACAAGAGGAATCTCATCTTATTGAAAGGTTTTTGCAGATCAAAAGAAATCATCAACAGGGTAAAAAGAAAACCCACAAATTGGGCAAAAAATTTATCCAACTGTCCCTCAGACAAAGGACTTCTATTTAGGACATATAAAGGATTGTGATCTCCGGCAATTGTACCTCTGGGTATATCCTCAAAACAACTGAAAGCAGGGTCTCAATGAAGCAACAGCTAAAATTTTAGCAACAGCTAACGTGGAGCAAACCAAAGTCCAGCAATGGATGAATGGGTAAGCTAATGCGGTATATATAGATAGAATTATTCCCTAAAAAGAAAGGGAATTCTAACATGCTATAACATCAGGAGAGGGAGGAATGGGGAGTTGTTTAGGTGGACAGTTTCAGTTTTGCAAAACGGAAAGAGAGATGGATAGTGATAAGATACTTGTGTAATATTATGAATGAATTTAATACTCCCGAAGTGTAAGTTTAAAAATAGGATGGTAAATTTTATGTTATGTGAATTTTATATCATAATAAACAACTTTTTGAGGAAAAAAAAAGGTCATGTGAATGATTTTTCCTGGCCAATGTAGCCATTAACAGAATTAGCAGATTGGATCAATTGCCACATTACCAAATCTTTGGAAATGGGAATAGAGGGTGGGACTTTTTCTATACGCTCTTTCCTACCATGCAGCTCATTCATCTCGGACTTGCGGTCTCCACTGTCCCACCTTGCTCTCTCCAGCCAGGCCAGCACTGATGCACAACGGAGAGCCCTCTGCTTTACATCTGCCTCTGCCAGGCTGGACTTTTTTTTCAAAGTGAAATTTTATTTCAGTGTCTACATTTTATTTTAACCAAAGCTGAATTTGGTAGGTAAGGCATGTATTACCGTTCCTTGGGAGTAAATGCAGATTTTCTTTCATTTCAAAGACACTAAAGTCTTCGTGAAAACATAAGTCTTAGTGAAATCATAAAGACGAAGTATGGGAAGAAGGTATTTGTTAATGGGTCTACTTATTACCCATAGCAGGCTGGAGTTTAGGACCTAGTTTTCTGATGCCCAGCTTTGTCGTCTGTTCTCTATCAGCATACATGTAGCCTTACCTTCAGACTGTTGTAGGCCAGATCTGAATCCTGGTCCAATCCTATGTCATTCTTTGGTTGTTCCATCTGTACAGGCAGAGATAGAAAAGCACATATTCCACAGAAATATTTCCAACAATGGTCAAACATGCTCATTCTGCTTTTGCATAAACACTTGGCACCTTCATCTTCCACAAGAGAATTTCTGTCCCTCTTTCAAACCATAGCTCAACACTCAGGCTATCAGGAAGTCCTCTGTAAACAACTCCTTCCTGCCCCCATTTTATTCACATGGTCCCCACAGGCTGAGTGTGTATAACACTGCATGATAGGGTAAATTGTGGCCCCTCAAGATATTCTGAAGTCTTAATCTCCCTCAACCTGTGAATGTGATCTTATTTGGAAATGGGGTCTCGTAGATGTAATCAAGTCAAGTGATTAGTGTGGGCTCTAATCTCATAGGTTCCCGCAGAAGAAAATACATACACATAGGAAAGAAGGGCATGTAAAGATGGAGGCAGGAATTTGAGTCACATAGCTGCAAATCAAAGAACACCAGGGACTGCCAACAACACAGGAAGCCAGAAGAAAGGCACAGGGCAAATTCTACTCCAGAGCCTTCACAGCTCGGCTTTCTCAACACCTTAATTTCTGGCTTCTAGAGCTATGACAGAATAAACCTTTGCTGTTTTAAGCCATCAATTTGTGGTCCTTTAGTTCAGCAGCCTTAGGATGCTAATGCACATAGTAAAACTTATGGATCTATTAATGAGGTGAATGAGCTACCCTTGAATTTGGTGGGGGGGTTACTCCTGTGTATTCTGCTTCCCAGCTAAACTTGAACCACTTTGCATAAGAGCAGCCTCCTCTGTGGCCCTCTACAATAGGTAGCAGGAGAGCTGGTGCACAGTACATGCTCAGGACACATAGCCTGACTTCTTAGCTCCAAAGCTAGTGGCTGTAGGTGGCAATGGTCAGAGTAATAGCTCATTAGGACTCAGCTGTGGCAAGCACGCCTATCATTACTTGGCAGCCATCAGACTTGAACTGCCCCGGGTAAAGGGGTAGAAAGCGCTTTGTAAGTGGCTAACTGCTTGGGTTCGACTTCAAGTAGTCTTTAAGATATTCCTGAAGAAGATGGACCTTTCAGAGCTACAAACTGACAGATTTTATTAAGATTATCTATAGTGCGTACGCCTCAAGTCCAGGTGAGGCCATCAGTAGCTGGGATGGATAAGGGTTGCCCCAAGTTTAGGGACAGCATGGGACTTGAGCATGTCCACAGACCCTTCCAGGTGAACCATGGCTACATTCACCTCACTGTTTCTAGCCCTGAGCCCAGGAAAAGCTCCACCAAGATTCCAACCTCTACCCTGCTGCTCACCATCACCCATGGTACAGGGGATCACCCATGGTACAGGGTCAGCACTCCATCTGCTGCCGAGGTGGGAGGCCTGTATCTATGCTCTGCGTAACACAGACTCGCCACATGACCTTATGTGATACCATGTAAATACACTAGGTTTTCAGAAAGTAGGGATTACCTACTCAAACTCAAGGGGCTGAGTACTAAGATGGGCTAGCAGTCATGTTTTCAACTTGACTTTGCCAGGCCAGGGAAAGGGAGCTGAATGGATGGGAGGTCAAAAACTGACAGGTGGCTTATCACAGAAGTCCCACTCTCCCAGGGGCTCAGTTATTCCCCCACTGATGGCACATTCCACAGACTTCCCTGCCATTTCTCATTCAGTGCATGGCCTCTGGCTAACAGTGGGACCTAGGGCCATATAGAGCTCCAGAATAAAGACCCAGGTAGCTCAGGATTCTTTGGGGGCCAAGGGTAGATCCATTAAGTTGAGCCTTTGTAGCTTAGTCTCAGGGCCTGGCAGGATTCCATGCTCTCCACTGTCCCACTCCTGTCCTCCCTAATAAGCTGTCAAAAACAGGCACATGCTCCTGAAAGAGATTTCAACACACATGATGGAGTTAGGGTCCTAGCCTACTGTTCTAATGTTGTTCAGTGATTACATTGTGAGGAAAGGGATATGCTTTTTTTACTTGGTCTCAAGACACATATAAGTTCCATAGCCATGATTCCAAAATTAATTGGCACTTCTTTAATGGGGAATGAACCCAGAGAACACATCTTTAGGTGCAGCAAGGTAGGCTAGGAACTTTTATGTCAGACATTATCTGACGGCATTGGGGTAGCTTTTTTTCTTTTTTTGTTTTTTTTGCAGACAGGGTCTTGCTATGTAGTTCAGGTTGGCCTTGGACTCACTGGGTAGCCTAGGCTGACCTTGAACTCTCAATGATTCTCCTGTCTCCCAAATGCTGGGATTACAGACGTGCACCACCACACCTGGCTTTTCACCTAACGATGGTCCCTGACTTATTACAGTTGACGGACAGGTCTTTCAACTTTATGATGGTACAAAAGCAATGCATATTCAGTAGAATCTGTACTTCAAATTTTGAACTTTAATCTTTCTCTAAGTGAGAAATATGATGTACAATCATTTTGGTGATGCGGGGCAGAGGCAGTGAGCCACAGCTCCCAGTCGACTCCACCATTTCAGAGGTAAACAACCAAGAGCCTACCATGTGCCTTGTTGCTAAGCTGGGATGTTCAGAAGCTAAGATGCCTTAAATTCATTTTGCACTTATGGTGTTTTTAACTTATGATGGGTTTATTGGGACATAACCCCACTGTAGGTCCAGGAGCACCTATATAGCATTTGATGTACATTTGCCTGTCAGGGTGGCTTTCCTTACAATTGAATGAGTCATTTGTAGGCCTAATCCTTTCACTCCTCATTGTGAATCTAATCCACCTGAGAGATTTAAATCCAACAACAAGATTTATTCCCCAAGTATTGCTCGGAAAAAAAAAATCCAGTAAGATTTGATAGCAGTACAGATCAGAGTCTGCACAGCATTTGATTGGAAAAGGAAGATGGGTGCTGCAAAAGTAGAGCACACAAAGAGGTAGGAATGGGGTGGGCTAAGGATTCGAGGAGGACTTCAAATCCCACAATCACAATTCAGACCTGAAAACAGAGCAAGGGCCTTTGCCAAACCCATTATGAAGTCAGCTAATGATATGACCTAGGTCATAAATGGACTTGTATTCATGAGAAGTGGTCTGTTATAATACTAAGGAAATAAAGAGTGGTTCATACTACTTACTACCACTTATTAGGTGGTTCTTATCTACTTTATTCAATGGGCTCTCCATTGCTATAGCAAGAGACATCCTGTGGCTTCTCAGTGCAAAAAGTCTTTGCCATTGGGGGCCCTAGGGGAGCGTGCTCCTGTCCATCTGGATTAGGACACTCACAGACTCAATGTGACTCTAGCACAGATGGAAGGCACTCTGAAACTTAGCACCAGCATGATTCCAGGGGGTCACATGAGCCCTAGTGGCCATGAGTTGGGCTGCTGTCTCGCCCTGGCATCCTAAGGGTCCCTAGCCACGTCACGCACCTGGCCTTTTTTGCTCTCTTGCTGCTCTCTCTTTTCCAGCTGCACCTGTAGCTTCTTCCGCTCCTGTTCAAGCTCCCGCACTCTCTTCTGTAGCTTCAGGAAGACTGTCATGTCCATGGCTGCCTTCTCCACACCGATCTCCTGTGAAAGAAGAGAAAGACATGGAAGAGAGGTTGCCATAGCACAAACACCCAAGGAAGCACACAGCACCTCACTGCCCACCTCCACATCAGCCATCTGTCTCCTCGCTCCTCCCAAACATCGATCTGTACCTCAAATACAAAGCCACTGCCAAGCAACTGGCATTTCTTATATTAGAGCTGCGACTCAAGGCTCATCTTCTATCTGATAACACCCGAGTTTCGGCCATCCCTCTGTGGGCCACGCAAAATGATCAATTGCATATTATAAGGACAAATGGATATGGACATAGCTATTTTCTTTGGAAGCTAAGCGTTCACTTCTGGAAAATGGCTTTATACCTTAGAAACCGTAAAACCCAGGATTTAACTCTGCCTGATGAAGAATCGATATAGTTACTAATCACTGTAAGTGTGCTGTCAACTCCATGATTGTACTTTGAAAGAGAATAGCAGCCCTGCCACAGAGCCCTCTACCAACCAGGTCTGAGAGCATCCATTTCCCAGTGGATTTTTTCCTTTCAGAGCCATGCTTGAATCTGCTCTCCAGGGTTGTGCAGTGTGTTGGGTGTGTGTGCAAACACATTTGTCTGTGAAAGGGTAATGTGTGCAAACATATCAACATAGACAGCTTTTAAGTACACATATGTACACATACGACCATATAATGTAGTTCTACTGGCATTTAATGAGTGCTTCATGCTTTACCGGCACTGGATCAGTCTCAGTTTCCTTGAAGAACACAGACCTGGAGACAGGAGTGCTTATATCTGCGTGGAACAAGGCACACACACAAACACTGGCAGTGCATCTAGAGTTAAGGCGGAATGAAGCCCCCAGGGGCTCAGCCTTAGAAAACTGCAATAGCAAAGTCAAAGGCCTTAAGCCAGCATTTACTGAAGGCTCGCTCCACACACAGCAAAGTCCAAGCCCCATGGAACAGCTAGAAGACCTTTTCTCCCAAGGATCAACCTCTACTCCATCACTGTGTCTACCATCTTTTATTTTTCTTCCTAGCACTGAGCAGTACCTGCAGTTCTAACACACACTGCTTTTTTTAAAACAGGGTCTCACTAAGGCAGGCTGGCCTCGAACTTTTGGTGATCCCCCTGGGTCAGCCTCCTGAGTGCTGGGATTACAGGTGTGCACCCAGCTACACATTTCGTCTGTTAACTGCTTACTGCCTAATTCTCTCAAATAAGCTCCAGGGGGGCAAGGACTGATCTGGCTTGGCATCACTGTTTCTCAGTAACTCCTAGAAGTGCCTGGCACAAAGACAGACTTAAAACACACTGTTATGGTGACTGTCTTTCATGTCTGTCTCCACCTACTTTATAAGGTGTGATTATCTACTTTTTTAGGGAAAATTGTGTGACTATATATATCCATGGCGAAACTGCCCACAGACCATAACACCTGCTGTATGGTACAAGATGCTACGAGGCTATTTCTAGTAGACAAAGTTACTGTCACCCAGCATACATCCATTCCAAACACTTACTGTTGTTCTCTGAGTTTTACCTAGCTTCTAGGGCAGAGAGGAGAATTTTCTGGTGTACTTATCACTATATATCCTGTGACACTAGACGAGGCTGATAAATTGCATTATTTAATGATTCAGCTGTTTCTTTACAACCCAGCCATTTCACTCTTCTGCTTCAGTTTCTCAGTTTTATAAAAGGAATCAGGGATCTGCCTTTCTCCCTGCTTTCTAGATAGTGGGTAAAGGATCGGTAATGGAACATAGAACACATTAGCGCCACAGTGTGATCCACAAGTCCACAGAAGTCCTAGTGATTCTGTTCTCCAGGATTAGCTCCTGGGCTCTCTGATCACCATCAGCAGAAGAGTACAGGTCTGTGAAAAGCTCCACACAGGTCGTAACACATTCTCTGGGGCAGGACAGTGATCGAGAGCCTGCCGACTTACCTCCACCTGTTGGAGGGTGTCCTCAGTGTCTCCGACCTCAGAGGTAGAGACGGAGGGGTAATTGGAGTCAGACTCTAAGCTACTTTGGTTCGATGGGTTCCTCCTGTGGCCTGGGGTTTGCTGTTCAAGGAAAAAAAAAAAGACAATTCATAATGAACTAATCTTAATAATCTCTCAAAGAGCAGCAGGTCCAAGAGTTGGACTCCTGCCTCATTTGTCAACAAGAATAGGTATCACCCTTTCTTGGAATGGTGGCTAAGTAGAGCTCTTTTCACAAAACATTCCACCTACAGTTCTTAGTCATTCATCTAGCTAACCAGAAACATGACAATGCAAAGAGCACATAGTTCTGAGGAAAGAACCATATTCCCTTGTCTCTTAATGGCATGAAAACCCATGAAACTCGGCCTATTTTCCTGTAGGGTCCTGGGGAACAATACTTTGGTCCTGCTCATACCCTCAAAGTATGTAGCCTGGGCAATTTAGTGAGGCCCTCTCTCAAAATTTAAAAAACTGGGGCTGTAGTTCAGTGCAAAGGCCCTGGGTTCAATCCCCAGTACAGAAGGAAGGGAACAGGGACACAAAAGCAGACCTAACCCTATTTCCCTCTTTCTTGAAAGGAATGCTGTAAAGCTGCTATGCATGTCCCCTTCCTTCAACTACGCTCCACTAATTTTGTTATGAAAGTTGTAGCAGATTAGGAATAGAGTTTATCATTTTATGCTATTCATTTAAAAATATCTTTTGGTTTTATCTATTTTTGGCATCTGATTTGGCTTTCAGGGTGAAAAATGAGCTAGAAAATTTTAAAGTTCCATATAAGATCCTATCAGCTTCTTGTCCTTGTTTTCATGCAATTAACTGTTTCCTTGTTGTTTGAACATACATCTAGAGGAAATGTTATACGGGAGAAAGAAGAATGATAATTCCTGAAATATCATGAAAATACTTCACATATGCCATGTCTCATCAGAGCTTAGGACCTGCACTCAGACCCAACGGGCGGCTCTCTATACAAACCAGTGCAGCTGAGCCTAAAGCCCTGGCCTTGTTACTATTTCAACACGACAACCTTCCCAGAATGGGAAACAGAAATGGTGACACACATCGTTTATGGATAGTTTCATAAACTCCTAACCAAGATGTCTACAAGACCCACTGCTTCTCAGGAAGGACCCACCCAGGCCAGGAGCTGTCTTACGTGCCACATCCCTGTGGGAGGGACAAGCACAGAAGCTGTGTCCCATGTGCACACCGAACACTCAGAGCCTGAGGTCAGCCACAAAGTGGTGCATGTGGGCAAGGGCCATAAAGCTAGTATGGCAACAGGCAGGCACTGTGGGGCAGCAGAACTGCCCTCCTTGCCGTTAGGGTGGTCACCTCGTCCCGCAGGTTGTCGTATCTCTGCTCCAGCTGAGAGTATTCCTTCACGAGGTTCTGGTACCGAGAACGCTCCTCCTCCAGCTCCTTCATGAGAAGGTTTTCCTTCATAGAGTTCTGAGCAAACTCATCTGGAAGTTGCACATGAAGATGCAGGTTTACCACCTTAATGGATTCCCCAGCCCACACCCATGCACTGATGCACGCTTTCTGATTAAGCTCTTCTAAAAGGCTGCCTGTGACAAGCTCCTCACAGAGGCACTGGATGAATGTCTTATGTTCATCTCCTACCACAGTCAGGAACTCTCATTATTTGACCTAAGTCACAAGAACTCTCAGTTAACATGCCTGCCTCTCTTCCGATCACTGTCACAGGGACTGTGGGTAGCATTCCTGGCAGAGCCAAGGTTTCATTCTGCAATTTCTTCCCATTCCTGACCTCTCAGGTTCTTAGAGTGCAGGGAGATTAAGCCAAATTAGGTTAGGGGAAGAATGAAAGGCAAAATAGCAACATGGGTAGGTTTTTCTCCTGCCAAAACTTACCATTTATAGTAATGGAAAGGAAAACCTACAAATTTAAAAATAGCTTATAATTTCATTAAGAAATATTTATGATACATTATTATATAATAATTACATACTTATTATATAAATAATATTATAATTATATATTATTATTTATGGCCGGTGGGACTGTGAGGTCATGTGGTTTAGTTATCTTGTGATGTGGGTGAGGAATCTGAGCATGGGGTAGGAGAACTCATCACACTGAGCTGGGGAAAGAACTGGGGACTCAGGCACCTACCACCGCTTGCAGCCAAAGGGCCATGGAGGATGGATGGTAGCCCAAGAGTTAGTGGGTGCTTGAGAGAGGCTGACCTGAAGCCTAATCTAAAATTCTCTCCTCAGTAAACATTTACAGGCAACCTACCAGGTAGAAGAAACAGGCAGTATGGATGCTAAACATGAAATATCACCCTAAGCATCCCCCTGTGCATCCTGGTCACCCACATATAAGCCCTCTGAGGTCTGTAATTCTTGTCCATTTTGCAGATGAAGAAACTGAGGATCTGCTGAAGGTCACACAGAAGCATATGGCAGAGTCAGGCCTGACTGCAGATCTCCCTCAGGTCTTATGCACGTGCATTATACTATGCATTAAGCATATGGCTTCGCTCATCAACCTCTTCAAACCAAATGTCATTGCAGGATCTTAAAACTCACCCTCTCCTCTATCTCTATTATAGCCCTTACCCCACTGCAGCATCTAGGAGTCTTCGGGGAGAAAAGCAGCCAAGAAAAGGGATTAAGACGCAAAACAAAGCCCAGGGCTTAGGAACTTACCTTTAGACTGGCACAGGATCTGGTTGTTAAGCTGTTCTTTCTCATCTTTCAAGAGAGCATTTTCTTGCTTTAGGTCTGCAACTCGCTGAAAGAGAGCAAAGGGAAAAATGTTTCCCCATGATGCTTGGCGAAGGGGAGGCTCTTTTTGAGGCACTTGAGTTCTGACTGGTCATGTGTAAATTCTCTTTTTATTTCACAAAATTGAGTTCAACAAAGCTCCTTTTAATCTGAAGAAAAAAATGTATACTAAAAGAAAAATCTCATTACAAGACAGGCAAGCTCAAACTGCACATAGCCATCTAGTGCTCATAAATCCCACAAAGAATGTCCACACCAAGTCACATGCCTTGTTGAGGGGCTCACAGAGACCAGACTTTCACATTGTTGTGCGCATTTGCCAGTCTTGCTAATTTTGAGCTCTCAAATGTGCATCTTACAAAAGCTGGTCACAATGAACAAATTATCTCTGATCTTCATCCCACCTGTCCTTCCGTGTCTCCCCGGACCAGTACCACTAAGATTCTGGGCAAGGGAAGCAGACTGGTAGGTGACAGTCAAATATCCAGTCCCAGTGTTTGACTTTTTACGATGCTGCCAAAGAAACATGAGGTAAATATTACTGAGAAAAAAGGCAAACACGGAAGAAATACTAATTAAATTCTGGTCTGTTCAAAGAGGAAGAAGGATTAAAATGGTTCAAAGTAAGTGTCTAAAAATGAAAAAAAACTAAGTTCATAATTAGAGCAAATATTAGTATAGATATTTTTAAAGTAACAACTCGGACGTGTGTTGAGGCTCTGAAGGCATCAGCTGGTGGGGAGAAGGATGAGGGAGGATGTAGCTCTGCTGCACTTGACCCACCTTTCTATTTGGAATCCCTGGGGACTCATTCTGCATTGTGCAGGAGGCTAATTGGTCATTTTCCCTCACTAAAACCACACACTCACCTTCGTGACACTGAAGAGGAAACGATTAGGAAGGAATGGGGGAGGCGTGCTGGCACCCCTTCATTCAGGTACCTAGACCTGAGCCTGTACTTTGCTCCCAGGGTGGCTCACCTATCATACATTACCACCTTAATAAACCCTTGAGCTCATGTCGTAAGTGCAGTATGAGACAAAGACCATAAGCTTCACAGGCACACAGACCCAGGCTCCATAAACCTCAGTTTTTCCCTTTGTAAAACTAATACCACCTCACAGGGCAGTTCCAGCATTAAATGAAATGATGTATGTGAAGTACCATGCAGCAGCCTCTGCATTTAGCAGTGGATCAATACATGTAGACTAACTCTGTAACATGAACTTTACTAGGCACTAAATGGAAACATCTTTAAAATCATTCTATCACTTACCAAAATTTTAAGGGAGAACATCTATTCTTTACAAATTCTAAAAAAAAAAAAAAAAAAAAAAAAGAAGAAGAGTGCTTCTCAATTGGTTCTATAAGACCAGTATTACTGATACTAAAATTAGACAAAGGTATCAAAATAAAACTGTAGGCCATACTTTTTATGAATATAGGCAAAAATCTTCCATTAAATATAACACAGGTCTATGATGAAAACACCCAACAAGTTAAACATGGAGCAGAAATGAATTTCTGGAACTTCATAAAGGGCATCTTCAAAACCCTACAGGCTCAGACACTACCCTTTTCTTCAGGAAGAAGTCAAGGAGTCTGCTCAGCCACTTCTATAGTATTCAGTACTGTACTAGAGGATCTAGCCAGGGCAATCAGGCAAGAAAAATAAAGCCATCCACACCAGAAAGGAACAGCATGTAATACTGGGCTGGGTTTTGAGGATGTGACAGCTGGCAACCTGGTGCCTTAGTTCACTGCAGCATCCTACAATCTAAAATCTGAGCCAACGCATCAGTGTGGGGAAGCCATGACTAACAACTCATATGCCACTCACACTTATACTGTTTTTAAGCCTCCTTTCTTCCCTCCATCTCTCTCCAAGGCTTTGAATCATGAATTCAGGTCCAAGGGTGAACTTGGCTTTGTTATCCTAAGCCATACATCAAAGTGTCATCACAGGGGATTTTTCTTGCCCACCTGAACCATTTTGGAGATAGGTCCATTTTGCCATCAGTGAGCCGCAGGCAGAAACAATGCCACACTCACCGCCACATGCCAGGGAGGCCAGAGAAAGTTTCTCTAGTCATACTGCTCTACATACTGGCCAGCTAGCACATGGAGTTTGTTGACAGTAGGGACAAACTTCTGCAGCCAAATGGTTACCTTTTGCAAGTCATCAGCGATGCAGGGTGCAGTGAGAGACTTTAACAAAACAGAAGAGGCAAATGGCATCCCCAAAGCATGATAAATGACATCTTTGAAGGTTTTCATATTCATTAAACAGTACTCAACAACTTTTTTTTTTTTTTTTAGGGGCTAGGGTGGAAAGGGAGAAGTTTTTTAATTCTTGCAGGAAGTATTATTTGGAATGTTTCTAATTTTCACAAGGGTGTGTGGGAAAGCTTATCAGAACCAACACTGGAGCTGGGGTCCTATAACTATAAGGACTGAAAGTCCCTGTATTAAGTAAAAAGAAACAAATGCCCCAACCATCTGCATGTGCTACTGTACCTTTGTGGATATAAGGGTAGCTGTGGGCTTTGTATCTTTGCTTTTTCAAGTTGGATATTTATACTGTCAAAAGAGCCAACTACAAGGCTACTAGCATAAAACCACTGACAAACTGGTTGGATGATGCCTACCAGGAAAGATTCATCTATCACCTGTTCTTAATGCTGTGCACCTAGCAGGTAGTAGGAATTTGCATGGCTCTTGGTAGAAACACTTCTCAGCCACATGAGAGGTTATTTGCCCATTTTCTGGCAATAAGGCAAACAAGCCTGAATATTCTATGTAAGTGGGGTATTACTGGAAATGGGTATAAGAAAAGAACTCAGAAGCAGAAACTAAGGAGTAGACAGCAAATGCAGAGAGGATGGTGCAGAAAGACAAGGTGAGTTGACCTGAGATATAGAGCCATTAGGCACCTACACAAATTAGAAAAAGAAAATCAAGGGTGGGCACTCTTTTTCTGCTCTAGGGAAAGGAAATATCTAGCCTATCAGAACATCCCTGGAGGAGAAGCATGGCAGATTCCAGGTCCCTTGCTTAGCACCATGGGTATCAGGATACACTCAAAGCAGTCGAGAGCTCATCGCCACAGTGAAGTTATAATCCAGGTGAGAAAATAAAAAAACAAAACTTACTGAGCTCTTACTATACTTATACTCCAGGCATTTTGGTTTGCTTTTAAGAAAACAAAGTCAGAAATGAGTTACAGAACTTGCCAAAGGTCATATAACCAGGAAGAGGAACATCTTGGCTTTGCCTGAGTAGTCTGAGTACAGTCCAGCCTGTGAGCCACTGTGCCAACCTGCCTTCTGAAAGTTTAGAATATAGGAAGAACAGTAGTGAATGTGCAGGCCTTGTATTATGGTTCCAAGACCTTCATACTGGAACTACCCAAGGTAACTAGTCAGTGGCTGATGATTCTGTGAATGAAGACATGATATAGTACACATTTCAACCCTACCAGCCTAAATGCTAGCCTGGGGCATGGTAGGACCCTCACATATGCTAAAGACCCCCTTCAGAGCCAGGGAGCTGTTGGTGGGCCACTCTTCCTTACCCAGGACAACTTTGCATCAAGCTAGACCTCACTTTGGTCACCAAACGAACTTCAGAATAGATTCTCAATAATGAGCTGTTACCTCTATGCCAAGGACAGCTCCAGAAGCCACCTGCCTTTCATCAGGGACATCAAGCAGTATGGCCATATGAATATCACAGCTGTGCAAAAGCAACCAGCATAGAGATCACTGAAGCTTTAAGAATGAAAGGGCAGGAAGTTAAGGACCTAGGTGTGGACTACTTTGTCACTTAATGGATCATCCATTGTAATGGATTTCTTTAGTAGAAAAGGATGGGCTGTGGAATAACAGGGACTGCACTGGGCTCCCTGGACATTGAGAGGAATTCCTAGTCCCCATGGGCAAGCCAATGCAGTGGTCTGCCTGTTAAGGTCATCCAGAGTGGGGCCTAACATGTTCCAGGATGCCAGTTCCAATATCACATGCTGTCTCTGCTGAAAGAAATATCAAACCTATTAATTAAACATCTACCAGCAGTCGGCTCCCTCACTGTGCTTTGCTGGTCTCATCAATCTTACTCAATGCAAAACAGGACCTGGACAGGTCCAGCAGGAAGCCAATTGTCTGATTATTTAGCATCTGTTAAGATTAGACACAGTGCCTTTGCTAAATATTAAACCTTGACTAGGCATAAGAGACTAAAGTAAGCAAAAAAAAAATCTGTTATGGTTTAGATTCAAAACAACCCCCAAAATCTCATGTATTCAGAGGAGGGGCTTTTGAAGGGTGATTGGATCATGAGGATGCTAAAATGATGACTTTATAGCTGAATGTGATATTAGGAAGTGGGCTCTGGTCAGAAGACGTGGGTTACTGCACGGAAGGTATATTCTTGTCCCCAACTCTGCCTTTCTCCCCCAACCCTTCTGGCTGCTGTGAGTAATTCCCTTCCTCTGCCATGTCCTTTCACTATGCTGTTTCTGCCTTAGAGCCACCTGACCATGTACTGAGCCCACTGGAACTGTGAGCCAAATAAACCTCTCCTCCTTTAAGTGGTGGGTTTCAAGTATTTTATCCTAGCGATGGAAAAGTGACTGAAACTCTTGGCCAAACCCTGTACTGCTCCCAAATATCAGAGTAAAAAAGTTTTACAGAACCTAGAAAAGGAAGGAACATTTTCTTCTACCATTTTTTTTTCCTGGAGAGAATAACCTCTCACTTAATGGGCCATCTTATGCTGGTGCTTTTGAGTATTACTAACTTGGGGTTTGCTTCTTTTTGGGATCAGGGAAGGGGTCTCTGCTCTCTTTCTTGTCCTATTGTTCCACTTCTGGCAAAGTCTTTGATTATTTTCTTGCCAGTTCCAGGGTCTAATTTTATTTAAGACCTTGGTCAGCATACTCCTATGAAACAGTAATTGTTGGGCATGGTGGCAAGAGGCCTGAAGCAAGAGGATCACAAGTTTGAGGCCAGTCTGGGCAACTCAGTGAGATCCCGTTTCAAAATTTATAAAAGGGTGGGAGTGCTAGAAATGTAGCTCAGTGGTAGAGCATTTGCCTAACATGCAAAAGGCTCTGGGTTCAGTCCCCAGTAACAGTGGTGCCTCGGTTCACCAATGCTTCTGTTAACAAACAATTCGGTTCTCAAACAGAAGCATTTGACAAAATTTTGCTTCCTTTCACAAACTTCACATTGGGTGACAAACACAGTCATGGCCATCTTCCTCAAAACTGTAAAATAAATTAAGTTCACGAACTGAGGTACCACGTACTACGAAAAAAGAAAAAAACATTAAGGAGAGGAGGGGCAATCTGCTTCTCTATATTGCTCTGTTAAGGAAGATCCTCATATGAGAAACTGTTATGATCTTCTGGATGAAGACCACACATTGCATCACAAAACAGGAAATCCAGCTCCCTCATGCAGGGCAAGCTGGAGGGGGGTTTATCTGATATGTCAAAGCAACACATGAGGAAGGCAGCCTTTTACATTCTGTGTTGCCTGAAGTCCCAACTGAGTGCCACTTCTGACCATGGGACCTGGAAGGTAAAGGTTGGCAGTGTTAAAGTTGTGCCTGGGTTGGGAAAATAAGCCAGGCAAACCCAATATGAGCTGGCTCAGAAGGCTTTCTATAGGCATCTGTGAGAGAGGAGACCAGAAGGGAGCAGAGCAGCACAAGATCAAAGGACTACAGAGAAGGGTAGAGAGTCCTCCATCCTTTCAGAAGCCAAACATAACCTCATGGTGTCAGCCAGCACAGGTCTAGAAGGGCCCTTAGAGATGATGTGAACCAACTTTACACACACACACACACACACACACACACACACACGTGCAAGGGAACTAAGGCCAAGGAGATTTCCAGCACATGCTTGACAATGGAAGAGCAGTGATGAGGGTCCTTTTCTGTGCCAGCACTCAGTCTATCCCAACTTTGAAGCTGTTCTTCCAACATTATGAATGTTGAACCCCTCCTTAGCTCTCCAATCCACCGTGACTTCCAGCGACAGATGACACTAAGCAAGTGAGCAACGTGCTATTCTCCCTGTGGCACGTGGGTCATTGTAGACACAGGGAGAGAACCATAGTGTCCTGGGTCTACTGGGTACTCCAGTGGCACTGTGGAACTTTCCTGGATGGAAGAGTGGTTTTGAGAATGGAGAGGGGATTCTTTGTAACCTGACATTGGGGCAGTGGGGACAACCCCAGGGAGTTCTATTTCATGCGGGGGGGGGGAGGTCTATGGAGTGCACCAACCACAACGTATAAATTATGTTGGAACTGTCGATATAAATTTGGGGCCTCTCCTAGGCCACAGTGATTTTTTTTTTTCTTTTTGAGACAGGGTCTCTCTAGGCAGTCCAGGCTGGCCTCAAACTGATGGTGATTCTCCTGCTTCAGCCTCCCAAGTGCTGGGGTTACAGGGGTGCACCCTCACACCTGGCTCCCACATTGATTTATTGGTGGGTAGTGACATCCACAGGCTTCCCCTAAGTCCTAGAACAGCCACCACCTCTGGGACAGCTCTCTTGCCATCAAGGATGTGGGCCACAGAGCTGAACCACAGACTGACCCTAGGCTGTGAGAAAGATGTGCAAGAGCAGACACTGTATCATTTCTATGGGTATATCATAGGGTGTAGCCAATGGCAGCGGTTAATTAACACTTGCTCAATGAGTGGATGCATGCTATGTGTCTTACCTATAAGTGTGACCACTTTCAGTCTAACATAGAAGAATGGTCGGTCTGTCAGCATGAGTCCGGTAAAGTCAGGGTAATTTCCCAGCCTGAACAAGGAATAATCTCTGAGTGCGCTCTGTTGCCAGGCTACTCACTCATACCTTTTTCAACTCATCCCGCTCCCTGCTGTGGGCATCCTCCAGGACCTGCCGCTCCGAGTGGGCCCTCTGTAGCTCAGTACGCAGGCTCTGCACCTCCTCCTGCAGCTGCAGGCTGACCTCAGCCCCCTGGTTCTGCTGGTAACATGCCAGCTCTCGATTCAGCTTCTCCACCTCCGTGGCATGAGTGGTGGTGATGGTAGACAACTTCTCCGACAGAGTCTTGATCTCTTTGTTCTGCAGAGAACACCAGCAAGCAAGGAGGAGGGGTGGAAAGAGATGGTTACTGAATAAGGAAAAAGTGTAAAGGCCGTTAGAAAAAGACTTCCAAGGTGGAATGAAACTTCATGATCATTACATGGCTGAGTGCTCTCCTGCCAGCTCCCTAACAAAGCTTCATTGTGAACCTCGGAGAAACAGAGGAAAGCACAGAACAGCAATCCTAACATTAAACAGTCCGAGGTGCCTTTACGAGCACTCGCAGAGCTGGAAACTGGCTGATAGCAGTTTGCTTTCTGTGTTGGGTAGACAGAACCTCCACCTGGTTGGCAAGTTGGAAGAGCAATGTAGCTGGTTCCCCGGATCTGCAGTCTTGCCTTTTTAGGATTCCCTGCACTTTCACAGTGAGCCCTCCTGCCCTGGAGTTGCTAGCACAAAGAGCTGCACCCTAATTGCTGGCTCTGAGACAAAGGACCCCTTCAGCATCCCCTCTTCTGAGATGGCCCGCTATAGAGGGCCAGGAGGCCCCTATAGCGCCTCAGATCCTTCTTGCCTCCTGTCAGCCCGGCTTATCCCATGCAAGTATGACTCAGGAGACTGGAGTCTGGCATAGCCTGCCCCTACCGTGATCCCGCAGACTAGATACCCAACACCAGCCTCCTCCTGTAATTCTCCCCTGTGCCTAGGGCCCTGCAAACCCAGGGCTGGGGTAAACACAGTGTAAACGAAGGGCACAAGTCAGGCTGTCAAAGGGGAGAAAGCATTGCTCAAAAGTAGTTCAAAGGGAAAAGCAGAGAGGAGAAAGGAGCACTCTCCAAATAAGCAGGGAAACTGAACAGTCACTGGTTATTCTTCATTGCTGTGCTCTGCAGGAGCTCCGAGTAGAACAGATATTGGTTAAAACATCAATAAGCTAGGGCATCTGAAATCAATGATTAACTTGTGTCAGAAATTAGACTTCAGAGCAAGCAGTGAGGAGCAGTGAAAAAAAAGCCACTGGACTCTGTACAATACCACATACAACATAGCCCACGTGTGAGCGAGCTAGTAGCACATTTTCTGCATGGATATAACAGGGTCAAGATTCACCCACCCTTGGTGGGACCCTCTAGGTCCGTGATGGTGAATCTTTTAGAGCCTTTAATGATAACAGCCTGCTGTGGCACACATCTGAGAAACTTGATTCTCATTCTTAAAAATGAGAACTTGTACGTTCAAGCTGGCCAAGTTGCTATACACGCATGTGCTTGAATAAAGCCAGACCGGCAGAAAGCTGAGTTCATGGTCTCAATTCATTTTGGCTGAATAATGTCACACCAGAGGCAAGCCCTGGGGACATAAGAACTGCTCCCAAGAACTGTCACTGTATTTATTGCTGAGGACTATTGTGAAAGGTGTGGCTCATGACACCACATGTACCATGGGATAACCTTGCCTCTGGAGACCCTGGCACATATATGTCCTCTCTCTCTAATTAAGAATCTTATGCATCAAGAAAATAGCTGCTTGAGTTATCTGCAGGGATTACAGAGAAGAAAGAAATCTATTCAATTTCAAACAGCTGGCCCCATCTGCTGAGAAATGCCATAAAGCAGCTTTAATATGTTCATGACGGGGCCATAATCCGTATGTCCCACTGGCAGAGGCTTGAACCACCAGTGGTACATGCACGACTGTCTCATGAGGCAGCTTGTACCACTGGCGGCAGAAGTGGTACAGTCATGCATGGGACAGTCATGCATGTACCACTGGTGGTTCAAGCCAGCAGGAATGTGTTAAACAGTTGCTGGTGAAGAGGCTGAAGCCTCATCTTCCAACAGGTTGTCACGTATGTTCTCAGACACTGGGTCACAGTCCCCACTATAAATGGCTGCAAGCCCCATGGACAGTGCTATCTGTATGAGAATTCACCTAAACCAAGGTAAGAATCCCCTCTTGACTGAGTTGTTCTCTTCACATGGCTCAAGAGGCTCCCAATCGGTAGAGACTTAACAATTTAAAGGTTAAAGGTAGTACAATATACCCTGAAACTACCCTGCCAAATTTTAATCCCAGCCAGCTTGGGATTAAAGCTACTTACTAGCAGTGTGGTGTAAGGCAGATCACTTACCCTCTTTGTGCCTCAGTGTCCTCATCTTTAAAATGGGTATGATGTTAATATTTACCTCATAGGTTGTGGAAGGATGTGGTTAGTGTGTGAGAATGGTACCCCACACATGGTCAGACAACATGGGGAAGCGGTGAGAAAGCAAGATCTTTTATCTGCCTCTGCTGACCTCCCACTGTGTCCAGGGCACCCTGCTCAAGATGGCAACACCAGCCACTGCAAACAGATGCTTTCCAAGCAGGAAGCGTAAAGCAAAAAGCTCTTTAAAAATAGGCCCTTTAAATCTGCTTCTTTTTGATGTTTAAGCACGTGGATCATAAAATACCAGATTTATTTTTATCCTCTGGATTCAACTTCAGAAATCAGCAAGGCCAAGCAAAGCCCTATCTGGAAACCCAGGGCTGTGGTGGGTACACAGGTCTCCGGACAGGGACAGCAGGCAAAGCCTCCTTATCCTGCTAACTGCACTTTGCCTGGAAGGTTAACTGGTAAATGTGACTTTGCAATGCCTTTTCTGCTTGGTCATCAACAGCCACTATCATAACAGTAAGAACTTTGCTGCACTTTGTGCTGGAACTTTTCAAATGGCCATTGCCAGAGACCAGGTCTTTTCCTTGTCCCTCTGAGTGGGTGCTTGCCTCTCTCACCCGAGGTGTCACTACAGGCCAACCAGGGGCAGGGACAGAGTGTCCCCTAACCTGCTCCTGAGCTTTTTATCTGGATTCCCTACCAAAGAACCCAGCTGAGGAAGGCTTCCTGGAGAATTCTCCAGGGAACATATACCTAGGCGACGGCTCTTCTTGGTGAGCCTGGTCTCTTGCAAGGGCAGGGCAGCAGGGACATTCCATTGTCATCCAGGCACTACTTTGGAGCTCCTTTTTGGGACAGTTGGTTTACATATAAAATGACTCAGCTGTGTTACTACTCTACTGGGCTCATGAGGAGCTTTTAAAAGGCCCACTATAGAATAGGTACAGTAAAACCAAGTGACACTCAGAGCCATGCCTGGTGGGCTCAACTCTAAATTTCTCTTTCGTTACACCCCCATACTAGGCACCCCCTTTGTGTCCTTCCTCTTCCTCCTTTCCTTTCTCAGGAGGTACCTGCACTCTGCAAGGAACTGCAGGAGGCTGGCCCTGTGGTCACCTTAACACCCTGCATGAACCAGGCAACAGTGAGTTTCCTTTCAACTCTGGAAGCCTAGCTCAGTAGTGACTGCAAGCAGGACAGGACTGGCACTTCAGTAATATTTGGGATTAAAAACTTAGCACAACCCTTGTTATGGCTATGGGATCAGACCTGGGTGGAATCCAGTTTCTAGCACTTTTTAATTCTGTGGCCTTGGCAAGGTACTTGATGTCCTGGCTCCACAATTTCGTCACTTACAAATGACCTCACAAAGTCACATGAGGATCACTGGAGGATGAACATAAAGCACATCATAGCGCCTGGCACATGGTGGCTGTTCGGGAGAGGAATCCACGCTACTTGCCCCACTGTATTCGGCTTCCTCTCCATAATAGAGCACCAGTGTGTGCCAATGACATCTCCTGCCCCAAACCTAACAGAGCACCTGAAATAATCAGGCACCAAATTCAAGGTCTTCTGAGGGGAAGGACTGGCCACTCGAGCCACCAGGGAGTGGGTATATAGACGAGTGCATGGGCATGTGTCAGTTTCTCCTTTCCAACTTGGATTTCACCCCAGGTCTGTCTGACCCCACAGGAGAAGCCAAGTGCTCTGTGCTTGCCTTGAATTCCTTGCAGTACCTTGCACAGCACTCTGCCCTACAGCAGCTTAATCAGTGGCTCCTTGCTTGTGACTGCCTGATGTGGGAAGGTGGTCATGCAGGCAGAGGAAAGGGGTGACCATTTCCTGAACTGTACACCAGGCCATCTCAGTTTGTCATCTGTGAGAAAGCAGGACACAGCATGTACCTCATGGGGGCTACACATACAGATGAAGTGCCAGAAAGGCATCGGCCCACAGTGACCCTCTGCAGCACTTGTTACTGCTGCTGCCATGCTGTGCTGGTCTGCAGGGGTATAGAAACAGGGCATGGGCCTGGGACCTGGGGCTCATCTGTCACTTTCCAAGTCAGTGGCTCAAAAGACATGATCTGTTATCCTACACTTCTAAGAGTCAAAAGTCAACAAGGGGTCACGGGACTGTGGTCCTTCAGGACATTCTAGGGAAGACTATTTTGGTACCTGTTCTAGCTTCTAGATGCTGCCCATAATTCTTGGCTTGTGGCCTTGTATCACTAGCACCTCTGATTCTGTCCTCACATCTCATCTGAATCTCACCTGCTTCCCTCTTACAAGGACACATCTGATTGCACTGGGTCCACCATATAATTCAGGCTCAGCCTTCTATCTCAAGAACCTTAACTTAATTCACATTTGCAAAGCCCACTCTGCCCTGTGAGGCAACATATTCACAGACCCCAGGGACAAGGATGTGGACATCTTGAGGGGTTCATTATTCTGCCTGCCATTGTCAGTATCAGTTCTTGTTTCGTGGGTGATGCCCTGAGGACTTCTGCGTTCCCTCAGGTCTCTGGCATGCACCACTCTGTTTAAACAGGCCTAGGGTGTCCCACCAGCCCCAACAATGGTAGGGAGCTTCTGGCACTGACCTGTTCATCAATCTTTCGCTGCAGCTGGACCACTTTGTTCTCCATGCCCACATTGAGGCGTTTTAGGTGTTCTGCTGAGCGGGCCTCTATCTTGAGGGCTTTCAGTTGTTGCTTGGCTTTCAGCCTGCGGAAGGCGCACTGGATGACGATGGCTGCATGTCGCAGCCGCTGGAAACACCTGCGTGCCATCCAGCCCCGGGCATGCTTCTGGATGATGGTGGCCTTGTGCTCCATAAGGACCTGGGAGGGGATAAGCACACGCACCCTGTGGGTCTGCACTGCAGGACAGAAGCAAGGGAGCTTATGTAACCATCTGGAGGACAGAGACAAGGTCAGCCTCAATGGTAGGAGACAGAAAACGTGTTCCCTAGCATGTAAGGCTTTGATGGCTGTTTTATGAACAAATTTTAGCTAGGTTCTAAAGCCCATGTATCCACAGAGAATTAGCTGTCAAATTCTTGTTTTTACCTTTGTGAAACCATATCACAGTCCAATTTAAAAACCTCAGAGTTATGGGGGCCTACTGATTATGTCATTCATCTCTCCCCATCTGACAGATGCACGTCTCAAATTGGGTTGAGGGAGCTAGAAGATGAAGCAAGGTACTTCAGTCAGAGGTCCCAGCTGGTAATGGCTTACAATAACTTGAGAGTTTGTTTTTCTAGCAAGTTAAAAACCAAAAGCATCAATATTTTTGCCTTAATACACTGTAGAATAAATGTTCATAGAATGAATAAACAAGCAAAAGTGTGAAGAAATTAATATGTCCAATGCCACAGCTACATGACAGAGCTGGGAGTCACATCTAGCACTTGCTGTGTACCTGCTGCCTCTTGCTGGTTTTGTCCAAAGTGTCGCTTGCCCCTTCCAGGGTGGCACATTTCCAACCTCTCAGGAAATTCAGAGACCCTTGTCTCACTGGCCTGGGATTCTCTACATATTATATCAGGTGTGTTCCATCCACCCTGACGCCGGACCACATATGTTTTCTCATCATGAGTTTATAGCTTTATTTTTATTATTTAGAAAATTACATATTTCTGATCATGGAAGCAACAGAGGTTCATTTTAGGAAAACAACATTTTACACATTTCCTTCAAGTCATCTTCCAAATGGGCATTATGCTTCGGTTACACGGTGTTACTTGGTTGATCAAACTGCCCTGATCTACAGTTACCTAATCACGGATTTCAGCCCCACTGGAATAATGCAAACAGCAATGGCCTGGCAGGATGAGGTTAGCATCCTTCTCCTAACCTCACCTGACTGGGCTTCAGGTTCCTAATTTGCCCAAGAAAGGGACAGGAGCTGCTGATGCCTACTACCACCTCCTGCCTCAAATGTGAATGAGTCCGAGTCAGAACAGCAGGTCCCACTGCTGGCTGATACGGGACTCAGTTTCTTCGGGCAGCTCAGGTGCCAAGGGGCACAAAGATACATACCTTTCCTTCTTAATGGAACTTTGAAGAGGATTTAGTGAGAGTAGAGATGTGAAAGTATTTAGAAAAAAGTCAGGAACACCCAAGAAATGCTCGTGTTGCTAACAACTCACCACTGTTGCTTTAGTTGTGGATCTGCAGCATGCAAGTCCCTTGGGGTGGCTACTCACCTGGCGGTAGACTCTGCGCACAAACATGGCCCGAGCAAAGGCCTGGATGATGACGGCAGCCCTGCGGAACCGCTGGTAGGCTCGTTGGGCCCTCAGCATGCGGTACTGTTTCTGGAACACCACGGCTGCATGCGTCCTTCGCAGGTGCTCAGCCAGCCTGGGGGAAAGAAGATTGCAGGTGGGGCCAGTGCAAGGGCACCGGCCAGCCAGTACGGATGACCTGAGACAGCCCTGACACAAGCCCTGCCTTCTGCCTTCCTTCATAGATACCCACAGGCTACTTCTCATCATTCTTTCCAAATGCAGGGACAATGATCTTTGTTCAGGTTCAGAACAGCAGAATCAGCTTTCTCCTTGTGGCCCAAAGTCTTTGTATCAGCAACAACCCCAGGCTGGGCCTGACACCCTCTGTGATCCTGACTCAAATGCTCCCTGTGCCTGTACCCTCAGCACTCCCTATCCTTCAGTGTTTACACTGCTGTCTGTCTGTGCCTAGCCAGGCTCGAAAATATCCAGAGCCACACCTTGATTACTGTGTACGCCTTCATCTAGCTCAGGACCTGGGGCACCAGGTACTAGGCAAATACAAGCTGAATGATGAAAACTTTCTCAGGTCCCTAGCGATCCTCTCTCTCTTCTCATCCCACAACTTTCTGCCCATCGTGCCCTGAATGCGAACCTCTCTCTTCTCTTTCATTTCTGCACTCCTACCTCACCTCCCTAGTAAGACAAAGAGCCAGTCTGACACTTTCTGTTCTTGTAAAAAGTCTTGTTTGGTACTGGGTCACAGCAAGTACTCAGAGTTCCAGAATGCCAAATGCTAGGAAAGACCTTGGAAATCATTTAGCATGACCCTGGAAGAGGAAGTGACTGACACACTCAGGCCATGCAACACATACTTGCAGGGATGCATGGTTCTCTCGTCCAGCTCCTTGCAAATGCTTTCCCCCTACCTGGGCTTTGCCTAGTCTCTGGATCATACGTCCTTGCAGGAAATGCAGGCCAGCTCTATTAGGTGCTCACCAACAGAGAGCCCAAGGCAGAGGCCTGCACATGCGGGTACTCAGTGATGATCTGACTAGGTGGCATGGACGGAGGAGAAACACTTATGCATTAAAACTACTGTCTTCTCATGTCTACAGCTTGTGCTCCAGGGCTCCTTTCAACAGTTCAGAGGTGATTAATGGTACTCACCCTCTCTAGGCATGCTTGGATAAGCAGCTTATGCTGAGCATAGGAGTCTCAAGCACACAAGTGAGGAGGAACACTCTCCTACCTTTATAATACACAGGGTGTTGCTATCTTTTCTCTTTAAATCTCTCGCAGAGATGGGTGGGCAGCCACTTGTGAAATTTGGGCTCCCAAATGGAAGATTTCATGGCAATTATTGTCACTCCTCCAAGGAAATTCCAATTTGGAGAGGGCACTGGCTATGAACCAGGGATGGACCGAAATCTGACAACTTGTATAAAATGTCTGAGGTGCATCTCATTGGAGGCTATGACCCCCGTGCTTAGGATACATCTCAGTGGAGGTGGCCCCTCATGCCAGCCTCAGTGGAGACACACCCATCACTCCAGCACATCAGGCCAGGAATATCAGCTGGGAAGGGAGTGGTTACAGCAGTTTCCTCTGCACAATGTCAGGCTAGTGCCTAGGAGCCTGACTAGCTCTACAACAAGGTGGCTGTGATGGCTGGATAAGTCACACCCTCTCTGTGATGGCTTGGTACAGTAACTCATAAAAAGGCCTCCCAGGAATCAGTTCTAATTACCAAACTCCAAGGGATTCTGAAACTCATGGTAGAAATGAGACTGTATAAAAGTTAACTGAAAAAGGCTCAATCTCTTTCCCTAAAAGTCATGTTTTTTCTTTGGGGTTTAGGCAGAAGGAATGGTTGATTTGTGTAAAAAATCAGCTGGTTCTAGCTTACTACTGATAGGATGAGGGGATGGTGCTGGGGGCCCCAGGAGACCTAGAAACTAGACCTACTCCTGGAGAAGGACATTGGGGAATGGGTCCAACCTTTAGGAGAAAGCCCAGGTATAGACGGGGCCAACAGGAAGCACTCGAATACTCTGATTGCTGATCATGAGAGGGGAAGACTCCCTCCTTCTAGGTTGGCTCACCTGCGGGCCAAGTATCCTCGGCAGTACCTCTGCAGGGTAATGGTAGCCTTCTTTAGCCTGTGGTATTTCACCTTCTGCAGCCATCCCCGGACAGTTTTCTGGATCATGATGGTGGCTGCTCGGAACTTATCAGCCCGCAGTTTCTCCAGGTAGGCCACCTGGCCTGCCCGGAAGAAGATCTTGGTGCGGCCAAACTGGAACTTGTCGGGATCCTTCACAAGGCAGGGAGAGGAGCTGGTTGGTCGTGAGTGAGCAGCAAGGTAGCACTCCCCACACCACCCAGTTCTTCTAAGGCGGACTCCCTTTCCAGACCTCACATACCCCTCCTCTGCAGGAACATACAACCCTCAGTGTTCAACAGACACAGAGTCTCCACCATGGGGCAGGCACTGGATTAGGAATCCAGGACATGGCTGTGAACAAAATTGCTACCCTCACAGTACCAACACCATGGTGAGGGTAGACAGACAAGTAAAGACTCTCTGTTTTCAGACAGTGGTGAGAATTAAAGAGGAAATGAAACTGGGGATATTTTAAAAAGATGATCAAGAAAGGCATCTCTGGGAGGTGATATTTGAGCAAACACTTGAATGAAGAAAGCAGCCCCCGTGAAATACCAAGAAGGAGCATTCCATGGCTATCATCCAGAAATCAAATAACAAATGCCGGGGCAAGTCTTTGGCGGTGGAAGGCAGGAAGAACCCTTCTACATTGTTGGTAGGAGTGTAAATTAGTACAACCACTTTGAAAATCAGTATGGAGATTCCTCAAAAAATTAATAATAGAAATTCCATTTGACCCAACTATTTTCCTTCTAGGTAAAGAGTTGAAGACATCATATTCCAGTGATGCATGCATAACCATGTTTACAGCAGTGCAACTCACAGTAGCTCAATCTTGGGAGCAGCCTATATGTCCATGAGCAGGTGAATGGATAAAGAAAATGTGGTATTTGTACATAATGAAGTGCTACTCTGCCACAAAGAAGGATACACTTGAGTAATTTGTAGGAAAATGGATTTTTGAGACCGTAACATTAAGTCAGTCAGACAGGCACTTTGAGACCATACCATTAAGTAAGTCAGTAAATATCACCAGTTTCTCTTATATGATAAACTCCAAGTATAAATAATTTAAAAAGCAAAATAAAAGGTAGATAATAGAAAACAGAGAGGTAGGTCTTTTGCAAACAAGGAGGGGATCAAGAGATGTGTGGGCAGAAATAAAATAATTAAGATGTATTGTGTACGTGTACCAACTCCACACAATGAACTTACGACCATTATGTACTAAGTACATAATATTCAGTACATGTACATGTTTAGTACAAACATGTACTAACCTTCTTAAAAATTGCAGAACAAATGCAAATAAGCAGAACAAATGCAAATGTCCGGGGGTGGCAAAAGCCGAGTATATTCGAGGAACTAAAGGCCAGGATGGTTAAATGTGCGTGGTGGGAGGAACCAATCCCTAAGGAGCTTGTACATAATTGGAAAGGGAGCCAGGAATTGGGGTATTGAGCAAGGCAATGACCTGATTATCCTCAAATGGTCACACAGTGGTACACATAATTATAGACGGCAAATAATTCCCAAGTAAAACTGCACTATGAGATGTTTTTACACCCATCATTACTATCTTAATTATATCTATTAGGTTACAATGGCTTGTCCTTCTCTGTGTCCACTCCAGTGGGTAAGGAGAGACACCCTCCCCCAGGCGGAGTTAACCAATGACAACTGAGAGTCCGTTGCAAACAAACTGACATCTAAGTGTGTCTGCTGGCACAATGGCCATAGTATGACAAGAAGGGACGAGCCGTGTCTACGAAACACATACATGCAAATATGTCTCACGCTGGCAAATGGCTTGGAGAGATTGCTGAGTCACTGTGCTTCACCGGCTGAGCATGAGTCAGGCTCCACACGCTGGGAAGGCTGCACTGCCTATCCAACAAAAGCTTGTTCTTAGGCTTCTTCACTGTCATGATGAAGGTGCAGGTTTGCACGATGGTCAGTCCCCACGGTCTGATTCTCTACAGTTATGTCTGTGCTGACTTCATTATTAATCCGGGAGGGCAAGGCTCATGCAGCACACTTTTTTATACCCCTCACTCTGACCCCACTCCAGACTAATATATGGAGAAAGAACTCAATATATATATTTGTGGAGCTAAAGCAGCAAATCACATTAAGTATGAAAGGGTGCTCCTAAGATCCTTGCAGAGATGCTACCACACTGTACATTCCTCCCCTAGATAACTACAGTGGTGAAAGTTCTCCACAATAGCCTAATAAAGCAGCCCCCAGCTCCCAGGTTGCCCCACAGAAGGTGGTCATTAGGAGCTGTGTCTGGCCTACCAGACACTTTTATCCCTTCTTCTCTCCCAATTATTCTGTTCTAAAATGTACCGAGCACTTGCTCAAGGCAGGGCAAGGTGGCACATGCCCTTCTAGGCCAACTTGGTTTTTTTTTTTTTTTTTAGAAATTGAACTCAGGACCTTGCACTTGCCAGGCAGGCACTTGTGCCACTGAGCTATGTCTGTGGCCATAGCAATAGGCCAAATTGTGACTCTGCTGAAATCCAGCCACTTGGCACAAGCACTACAAGCATGAGTGTTCAGATGATCTTGCCCAAGAAAGGGGTGGGGAGGGGGAGAAGGACAACAAGGCCTCCAGAAAGACAACTATGCAGAGTGACACTAACCAGGCATTGTGATTTAGACCATAAGGGCTTCTCAATCCACTTACACAACCTTGGGCAATTTATATCAGCTTTCTGTGCCTTAGTTTCCCCATCTGTAAAATGGGTGATGCTTGCACCTTCCTGAGAAGGTGAGCCATTATTAGCAGTTTCCAGTCATGATGGGCTTACCTGGCTGGTCACTCATGCATCCACCTGCACTAACTTATCACTCCCATGAGAAACAGGAATTGTAGTAGGAACACAGCAACAGTAAGGTCCTTGCTATTTACATGCTCACGGGCCAGTGAAATGACAAACATTCAATCACAGTACAAGGAGATAAATGCAATAAGAGAAGACAGACATTGAGTACTATCGGCCATAGGAAATGGAGTTGCTAACTCCACCTAGGAAGCCAGGAACAGGCTTCTCAGGCCAGGAAGTATCCAACAGCTCAGTTTGGAAAGACAGTAGAATGTGATGAGCCGGTTAAAGAAGGAAAATGCACTTCAGGCAGAGGAAACAGTACATGTCCTGTAGCCTGTCTTCAGGCAAGTTCCCGCTCATTCATGCCACGACTGTGTGGAGGGCTCCTTTGTGCCGGGCTCAATGCTCACATATAAGGGGGGTGTGTCACTGCAGAGACAGGGCTCCGGCAGAGAAGGACACAAGTATCTGAAATGAGCCTTAAGAGTAACATGAAGTGCTGCAGGCAAGTGCTGGACCAGGAAAGCAGGAGGGCAGAGTGGGACTGGAAGCTGGGCACTAGAAGTAGGTAGGCTCATCACCACTGAGAAAGAAGCAGCTGTGCCCGGCAAGGTCCGGTGACCCATGCATGTCAACAAGGCAGGTCCCAGGCAGGGCACTTGGTTCCATGATCCAGAGCAGCATACAGTGCAGTGTATACCCTCTGTTTGGGAAGTGGAGGTTCTGCTAGCAACCTTGGCGAAGCCCAGAGGAGAGAGGGGAGGAGTGAACGAAAGAGAAGACAGTCACATGGTAGAGGTCTGCACTGCACACCAAGAGGTCATCGCTGGTACCAGCTGACACTCCATGTTAGCTGAAATCAGCTGACCTTGAACACGTTTTTCTCACCAATGAAGAACGAGACCATAAAAAGCAAAACTTAAGCTCACCAGAGTACCAGGAACAAACCACAGCCCCCAATTAACCAGACTGCTATGCTCTGTTAAAAAGGGGAAGGGACAAGAGGGAACAGTATTTGGGTCTTCCTTTTTAAAAGACAACTTTAAAACCTTACACATTTAACATAATACCCTGTGTTGTCCATAACTACAAGCTTAGACGATGACTGACACATTTACTGAATAAAACATGACCTCAACACTTGATTATTTTGTAATAAGCTACTCCAAATAAACAGATTTCCTAGCAAAGTAATACTTGAAAACTTAGCATTTTTGATGTAACTCCTTTTACAGTCTTCTAAAAGGGAAGATTCTTGATAAGGTTTAGCCCTTTATGGAGACCTTGTCACACTCATAATCCCTGAGTTCTTTGGAACTACTGGAATGTTTAAGGGTTTGCTACTCATGGCACTCTTTTTATAGTTGTCCAGTCTCAGCTGTCAGGTATTATTTCAGGTTGTTTCAATTAAAACATAAATCTACTGCCTGATTTAAAATATGCAAATAGGGAGGGCTGGGGCTAGCTTTGCAATAAGATGAAAGTGGACGACTTCTTTTCTGCTCTGCTGACAGGGGCTATGCCTGGACTCTAGATCAGATCCCACCCAGGTATAGTGGCAGGAATGGGTGGGTCCCTGCTATGGGGCAGCCAGAGATCCTGGGCTAGTGGCCATGGCCAGCAGCAGTCTCCCCGGGCACCCCAGTGAGCTGTTCGGAAAACTCCGTCTTGTGTGTATGCTGAGATGTGAAAAGGCTAGGAGGTACTCTAGGTAAAGGGGTTTTTTGTTTTTAGTATGTGATGCAGGAGAATGAATCCACATCTCGGAGGCAGTCTCAATAAGAATGACGTCAGAAGCTGCTATTGCCTACCCACCCCTCCACTCTCAGGCCTCCTGGTCATGCCCCCAGTTGAGCCAGCCTCACCCTGATGAGGCTCTCTAGGACAGACTTGCAGATGGCTTTCTTGTCGGTGTTGGCAAGCTCTCTCTTCTTGACCAGCACCCGATACCGGTTGAAGAAGTCATGGTAGGTCCACCTGAAGGACAAGCAAAGGTATGTCAGGTCACACATCCTGCCTCTTGGCCATACATGGGCTAAGGGTGACCTAGATAGTGTATAATGGGGTCAATGCTATTGAACAAGGCATTCTCAGAGCAGCAAAAGCCAACCCCTGGGGAGTTCTGTCTTTCCTACTACTCTCCAAAAAGACCAGTCTGTATAGGTCCCTGGAGTCAGGCTGAGAACAGAGGATGGGCGGGCTGGGAGGAACTTTCTGTGGGATGAGCAGAGGTCTCTGCACAAACACAGAGCTCTCTCCTCTGCTGACACTGCTGAAGGAGTAGGGCACCTTTGGTTGGTTTTGTGTTTGTTTTGTGGTACGGGGGGACTTAGCTTAGGAAACACTGAGCTTTATCCCCAGTCCCCTTAAAAAATTATTTTGAGATAAGATCTCCCTTTGTTGCCCAGGATGGCCTTGAGTTTGTATTTTCTTGCCTCCAGCTTCTTAAGTAGCCGAGATTACAGGCATGTGTCACTATGCTTGATCACAGCTTTGTTTTTAAATGTTCGAGCTTTCATCTTAAAGAACTGATGACTGCTTTTTTTAAGTGCAGAAAAGTATACATTGGAAAAGAAAGAGTGGTACTATCCTAATTCTTAATCCCTAGAGGAAACACTGTCCATATTTTGGTATGGTGTTGAAAGAACCACTTCCTTCCCCAAATAGGTTTTGCTTATGATTCCTTTTTCTCCATCACTAGAATTGGCTCTCTGAACAGCCACCATTCTGATTTCACATAATCAAAGAGACCTGTAATCCACTGTCTTTGCAAGGAAGTGCTGCTTTGATGAGTTTGGGAAGAGTCTATGAGAGCATCTTAAGTTTGTTGCCTCCTAGCTTCTGAGGCCATCTCTACATAAACAAGTCAGTCTTTCCACGAGGAAATCTACTGTTTCCTAGGCAGCGCTGCCCTTCCTCACAAAGTTAGTCTCTCTTCATACTTCCCTGACACGTCTCAATTCTCACCTCAGTTTTCAGAGATGCTCATAGTCTCCTCGAACAACTGTGTACTGTGAGTCAGCACAATCCCTCCCAAGAGGTCTAAACTTCTCTGAAGGTCAACACAGCCCATGCTCAACTTTCCCGAGTCCTGTGTGGTGGAGGTGCAGAGCCAGTGTTGGCTCACACCTTCAGGGGCATCTCCAGGGGCCAGCAGGCCCTGTTCTCCAGGGTTTCCTGCTGCGTACACCTTGTCTGGAAGTCAGCAGGCACTGGTTGCAACTGCCACCAATTGGTGGTCTTGCTGAGGGACTGGCCAGCTCCTCAGACTGACACATTGAGGTATTTAGTAGAAAATGAGGGACTGTACCTCTTTCCTAGAAGCTGTTTGCCTCTAAGGAGGGTCCTTTGGAAACTTTATGTAGAGAAGCAAGTGTCAGGAGCCCAGCAGGTTGATGGTGTGCCCTGAGCTTGGGGAGTGGGCTCCCTGACAGCTCCTCTGCTTTGACTCCAGGACCTTAGGACAGCCTGGGCCTAGCCTCCTTACAATGATAAGAACAGTGGAGACTGAGCTCCTTGCCTCCCTCTATGTCCCTTTTCCCTCTGTAAATATTTTTCTTTGCTTGGTGAAAGTTTTCTAATACAGTAATGGATCTCAAGAAAGGAGAAAGTGTAGGAATACATATCAGGATGACTTTTTTTTCCATCTTTTTTCCTCTATGTTAAGGGCTGGTTTTATTTTGCTGCTTGCTTTAAAATAAAAGCTTTCTTTGGAGATCACTTATGTTAAGACAAAATTTACCCTTTGAAGTGTACAACGCAATAATTTTTTGCGCATTTGCAAAGTTGTACAATCATCTGCAATATTCCAAAACATTTTCACAACCCAAAAGGAAATTCCACACCCTGAGCAGTTCCACCCCATTCACTCCTCCTCTCGACTGCTGGCAACCACCACTGTACTTGGTCTCTATACTCCTTCGCTTTTTAACTTGTTTGTTATGTCACAAATGAGAGCCCATGTTACACTCAGAGCTCCTGGGTTCTTCCGAAGCCTACTCACTGTCCACAGGGACTCCCTTTAGGGAGAGGAAAGAAGGCCCTTACAGCTCCCAATGCCTGTTTTATGGCCAACAAAAGGGTCCTCTCGCTCTTTATGCCCTCCAGTCACTGAACAGAAGCCTTTGTGCCTTCCAGCTGTGAAGAGACTGTGAATCAAACCCCTGAGTTACCAGGCATTGTAAACAGGCAGCCTTGAAAATGGGAATATTTAAGGTCTTTGCTCAGCTAAATGCTGCTTCAATTATTTCAGTCATATACAATAAATATCAAGAAAAGCTCCCAGCTCTGATCAATCTTGAGTGACTTAACACCAGAGGCCTGGGGAACACAAAGCTAGAGCTGACAAGCTGCAAATCACACGTGCTTTTTGTTCCTAGGACATGCAAACACCACTAAAGTTTTCCTAGGTGCTTTCTGCCCTACCCCCATCCAGTTTTATGTATAGACCATGCTTTCTGATACTTCCACATAGGGAAAGAAGGATTTGAGCAAGAATCAAATGAAATATTGGATATGAAAAAAGAACTTCATAAAGTCTAAGTCTCCTTGTTGCCCCTGCCCACCTGCCCATCTGACTCAACTGACGCAAGTAATGCAATCCTTGCTGGCCCTCCCTTTAAAGCTGCTTGGCGCTTTCTTGTAAATTTCTGAGAGCACTTCCCACATTCTGCATCATAGTTATTTGTGTACTCATTTGTCTTATTTCTTCCTATGAGTCTGCAGTTTTGCTGGGGGAAATAATTAAAGCAGCATTTAGCTAGGCTAAAAATCTTAAATGCTTCTAATTTGAAAATCTTACTGCTGACAGATCCACAACTCAAGGAAGTCATGAGAGCAGGGAGATGTGACTGTAAAGACATCAAAGCCAGCTCAGAACGAAGGACAGAAGTACAGAAACTTTGGAGGACAGAAGTGCAGAAACCTGGTTCTGCCCTTGGCCAGTCCCAGCCTGGATGCCTCACCTCCCCTAGCTGTAAAAGAGGTAATAGTCTCCCACCTCACAAAAACACCTCACAGGGTTTTAGAAGCCAGTAAGCCAAGGAGTCCATCACGTGGACTATCTGGACTATCTGCAAAACTTCCAAAGATCTAAACTGCTTACCCTTACCGCACAAGCCTGCTCCACTCCTTTTCTCAAAAACATACTCTTAAAAACATAACCTGCACCATAGAGCATGTGCACTGAAGTTTATGGGCCTGGGGATGCCAGGTCCCCATATGAAGGCAAAGGGTCCACTGAGAAGCACATTATCACTTCGAGCAGATGCTCTTCTGCTACATGGCCTGGGCAGGAGGCCTATAAAGGCACTGGTCACTCCAGGACCCAGAATCACACATGGGATCCTATTTCCATCAACCTCTGAATGCCCCTAGCTAGAAAATACTCCCAGGAAAGGCTCCTTCATCTCTAATAGGAAAACCTTCAAAGTGAAGCTGACAAAATGTGTGATTCTTTTTCCAAAAGCAGAACTTCTTACCAGGACATTGATTTGGGGGGAACCTTTGCATGTTCAGTGACAGCACAGCCTTGCCCAGAATAATTTTCCATTATGGACTCCCCCACCCCACCCCATAATGGAAACACACACACACACACACACACTCTGCATTTTAGCTAGGCCTGAGTCCACCATGCGCCCAGGGCTTTGGGCTTTCTATTACAGATCTGCTTGTACATGTATGAGGAACTCTGTTAAGTACAAGCCTCCCTTGTCTCTCTGACATGTTTTAAAACCTCTCAACACTTAACAGTAACTACCAACTGTGCCTTTATACCCTGTTGCATATTATAGTATAAGAAATCATATTTTACTGAGTACTCAAATGGTTAGAAACTGAGAATCGGGGCTGGGAATTTAGCTCAGCGGCATAGCGCCTGCTTGGCAAGCACAAAGATGTGAGTCCGATCCTTGGTACCAGAAAAAACAAAACAAAACAGAAACTGACACTCCCCCCCCACACACCAGGCAGTTAAATGTCTTCTTCCAGTTTCTCAAAAAAGGGACGAATGTCTTTGGGTTAACAATTCTAGAGTGTGTGGGACAGTCCCACAAAATATATAGACTCTTTGGACTACCCCTCTTGCCTGGAACATTAAAAACTCTCAAGTATTTGTAAAATGTTTACTACAGAGCATAATTTTAGTCCAGGAAGGTTTGGTGGGAACAACCACCCATGACTACCATCTGCTTCCAGTGGAACTCCTTCCTTGCCAGGTGGTCCACACACACCCTCTCATTCTGCCTGGGGAGGTCCTTTAGCCCACTTCTGGGGCTGGGTCCTCTTCTATTCTATTCTATATTAGTGGTGGGAGAACAGCCCCACCCTGAGTCTACACCCAGGCCCTGTCTGTGCTCTGTGGAGTCTCAGCAATGGCAGCTCCCCTCAGACCTCCCTTCACTACAGCCCTGCTCTCCCTAGATTCCAACTCTCATGTTGGGAGCCTGGCTGAGCACCCTAGACTTCAATGTCATGCTTCCTTCTAAAGAAAGGCCTTTGCCTGGTGGGCTCTGGCCTGCCGGTGAGAAGCTGTTCTGACCTGGCCACAGTGGAGTGTGTGGGAAAGGCCCAGGGCCAGTGACTGCTTCTCTGCAGGCAGGCATCGGCAAGTCAGTAGTCTCGAAGGATGCCTCCTAGTAACGAGCTCCTCAGAAGACAGTGAGTGATAAGGCAGCTATGGATGGGGTAGGGAAGTCAGGACTTGAGGTATTGTTTGAGCACCCATCTGGAGTCTTACATTGGACTTAAACATCTGTATGTGGGAATACTTTGCAGAACAACATACCTGCCTGAGAAGTACACAGTGAACCAGGGTTAGCCATTACTGCAGATCTTTGTGCTAGTTCTCTTTGGGGCATGTTTTCTCATGCAGATGTTGGCTGCATCAGATAAAGCCTGAGAGTCTATTTAGTAAGACCTTGCTGTGATTGATGCTCTAAATCATACAATCTCTATGACATCAGACTACAATGAAG